TTGATAAGAGCTAACCATTCGATTGTGCGTCGCAATAAGGCGAAAAAGTAATCAATTAGAAACAGAAGCCTTAAGCCGCCAGTAGGAGGTAGTGTGCACTTATTGTATGCTTCAAAAAAAAAAAAAAAACAATACAAATGCAGCTATGAAAGGTGGTCGGAAGGTGGTGGGTGGCTGATTCTTGTGCCACATTTGCATTACACGGCGATGACTCATCAGCCAGTCAACGCAAACGCCGGCCAACATCACGCTCATCCTCATCATTACCAAGAATATAAACATCAATACCAATATTTTGTTGATAACGATGATGGTGATGATGATGATGATGACGATGAAAAAAAAAGAATATCACAACTTATAAATATGTGTATACATTTATATGCATACGTACATACTTACATATATACATTGGTATATAGAGTAAAGCGCCAAAGGCCACAAACCTGGTCGTAGCAGCTGTTGTGACAACGATAACAACTACAACAAGCCGACAGAAATGCAAACAGTAGCAGTTGTGTGGGGTTGTTTGTTATTTTTGGATTGCAGGCAGAGGATGTCTCACAGCGAAAGTGTGGTTTTGTTGATTCTCATACCATCAAAATATACCTTTTTGTTTGCCGGTAGGAAAATACATAAACACATATATGATGACTGGTCCACTTTTGGACCACATGCGTACTTATGTACGTAGGTGAGCAGTAAAATTAAAAAAATTGATAAAAGGTTATAATCAACTAAGACCGAAAGGATAATTTTAAATCACAGCACGAATTAAACTTTTTGCGGTAGAAGCAAGAATCAGAATTAAAAAGAATTAAAGAACAAGCGGCAAATCAAATGGAGTTCTTCGACGAGCCCTGGTAAATTTTTGTTCATTTCAAATAAGGTTTTATTGTTTTTATTTAAAATATTGGTATGTACATATGTATGTGTACGTATTTACAAAATATGCATGTGTCTTAAAAACTATTGGTTTACAGTATTCAGAGGAGAAATTAATTAAAAAAACTTATCTGAATATCCTTTTGCGAATTAACTGGAAAAGTTAAATAAAATGTTTTCCTTCGACACAAAAAATCACGTAGTTTCACTCAAATTTTACAAAAATTAATGAATCATCTGACAAATTTTTACGACTTTTACTTTATTTTTTGTACTACCAAATTCATTTTAAAAAAATGTTACTTTCTAAAATTCAAAAATATAGGTAAACAAAAACTAAAACGCAATAAAATGCAAATATAAAAAATTCAAATACTTTACACCACATTTTCCAAAGTCTAAAGAAAATAAAATTATTTTCACTCTGCTAGCTTATTTTTTTTAATTATATGAAATAATATTCTTCAAGATGAAATGAAGATTAGATATAATATCAAAGAATCTTTGAGTGCCAATAACCTGGTATTGAGTGAAATGACCTTCCTTTTTTGTATCATGCGTTTTCTATAATTTTTTGTTCATGTTTCATTTCTATTTCTATTTTTATCTTTTTTAGGACACTTTGGCGAAACTTTTTCCTACTGGGTTATCTGAGTTTGATTTTACTCTGCGGTGTGAATACGTTACTTCTTTTAAGACTCTCTACAACGCATGTGCACGCAAGGACAAAAGTGTGTACGTGACGTCAAACTGTGGGCCGCCAACGGCAACATGGGAAAACAAAAACAAAACAACTCAAAGGAAAAACAAATTGAAATAAAGTTACAGAGCAAACACAACCGCAATGAAGTGGAAAGGCAGCAACCCCTCTTGGCGGCAAAACCGAGTGCGTATATACAGATATGTATGTACATATATTTTCATAAAGATGACTAATCATCGTGTGCTCGACATAAACAAATATAAAATGAAGCGCACTCCGGAGTGAGAATAAGGCTGAGTGCGTTTAGGGGCAGAGTGTGTAAGCTACAACTCTACTATGCTGCAGCAAGGTAAGGTGTACGTGTGGAAGTTTGTACATATGTATATATGTATGTTTATGAAACAGGAAGGACGCTTGTGGTTACCGTTGATTGAACAGCAAAGGGGTGTGTGTCTGATGCGTCAGTCGTCGATATGGAAAACGGCAAGTGGGAACGTTAGTTGGCGCGTCAGCCAGTGGTGGGGAGAAATTGCAGCAAATGATTGTTGGCACGCTTTACATCAAAAAAAAAAAAAAAAAAAATCGCAATAACGAAATTTCTTATGTAAACATTAATTCACACGCCGTCCATCAACAATGAAGCATCAACACACACACACGAAAGTGTTTTGAGTCACCTTTTCTTCATCAACTGTTTGCTGGACTAAAGTCTTTTGCAACAATGCGTCCTGTAAAACTGTCGGCCCGTCAGACTCGCCAGCCCGCCAGCCCTCCAGCCCTCCAGCCGGGCTGTCATTCACTTAGCCTTTTCCCAGCCATTCCGTCGCATTGTGGTGGTCGTGCTGTTAGCCTTTGCAGGCGAATATAAACTTACTTATGTACTTATGTACATACGTGCATGTACGACAAATGCGCCTTCTGCAGCCTGGAGGGTCAGTGGCAGACCGAAATACATACATACAGACACATTTATACAGAAATTCATTGGCGCATTGGCTATGTCATGTTGTCACTAGGAGCCATACTGTCTGTGACGAATGGCAAAAGTAAGACAACAACGACGATGTAGCAGCAGAGCTTGTGCTGACATAACAACAATGCTTACAGCAAAAAAGGGGCTGCTACTGATGGTGAGGCTCCTAGTTGTTTGGTTGCACGCTTGGACAGTCACTCATAATGCAGACAATAGACTCGGTTGTTATTTTTATTGTTGGCAAATTTTATTATCGTTTGCAGTAGGAACGTCAGGCTGACGAGAGAAAACAAAAAAAAAATATATCTATAAAAAAAACTATAACAACAAAAAAAAAACTATAAAAACAAAAACAAAAAAACTATAGAAAAACATACTGCTTGCGTTGTAAAATTTTACCTACGTAAGTAAGTAAGAGTGCTTGTATGTATGTACAAATGTTGTTTTGCTAATTAAATTAAATTGCAGGCTTCGGCTATGTTTTGACGAACTTGTTGACGACATTTGACTACTTAACGAAAACGCGGTAATTGTAAAATATAACGAAAACTTACAAATAAACGCACGGCGTGGGCTGTGGTGGGTTGTGTCGAGTGCATCATGCTTCATTTGCCAATAAGCCGGAAAATATGCCTACCGCTAAATATTATTAATAATATATTTTTTTTGTTGCTTACTACGCGAAAGTCGTTAAATAGTATTGCAAAAAAAAAGTGCACTTGACTTATTAATTTATGTACATATGTCTGTGAATATATAAACATTTTTCAATATACGCATATACACTTTTATATGTGTGAATACATACATATGTACATATATATTGTTTTATATATACATATACATAGCTGAGCGATGGAAAAAAAGTTTATTGCGGAAAATTTTAAATGAAAAAATAATATAGCAATTGACGTCAACTCTGGTCGCAGAAATAAAGAAATTAAGAATTTATATTTAGTGCACGGAACAATAAAGGAAAATCATTGAAATTGGCAGTGTTGGAATTCTGTTTAAATATTTTGTTTTTTTTTAATGTTGGGTTTCTTAATCTCCGTGCATGCTGTTTAGGGGCCAATGAGCGCTTGAGCAAGGTTGCTTTTCTTTTTTTTCGATTTATTTATTTATGTTTTGTTTAAGAGTGTGTGGCGCGTGGATGGTGACAAATTATTTATTAAAAAATAAACAGATGATTTAAGTTTTTTTTTTTAGCTGTTGGGATCACTAACTAGATGAGTAATAAATAAAATTGAACATTTTATATTTCACTTGCGAAAGTTATGTAGCCACTAAATAATTTTAGTTTTTTTAAATATATTGTCTAAATGTTTTCGCTGAAAAAATTTCTTGCAGATTTTAAGTTAATAAAAAATGTATTAAAAAAATATTTAACAAGAGCATGTAATTAACTATTATTTCTAGTTTTGTTTAATATTTTTTTTTTTATATTTAACTCAAGTCTAAAACATAAATTAAAAATATTATTTTATCTTAACTTCAAATTCACAGTATGAAATTAAAATTTTATATTTTAGTTTTTGAAATAAATATAAATAAACACAAATTTAAAAAATCAAAAGCACAATAAAAACTTAAAATTTTATTTTATTTATTAAAATTTGATTTTTTAATAAAGATTTCATTTATTACCGTTAATTTGAAGTTTTAATACATAATTAATTACAAATAATTTTAGTTTAAGGAAAAAAAATAATTTTAAATTTAGATTTTTAAGTACAACAATTCATATTTTATATTGAAGCATTAATTTGTAATTATAATTTTTAATTTTTGTTTTAAAAATTTTCAAATCATTTTTGCTTTTGCTTCTAATGTGTTTTGGTTGTTTCGTAAAAATTTGATATTTTATTAATCTGTATTTGAAGACAACCGTGGATAGTTTGGACCTCGGAGAACACAAATTTTTCAACAAGACAACGAAACAAAGCACAGGATGTGCGAGATTGGATAGCTAAATATACAATCAAAGTCAATAGATATTTATTGAACATATTTGGGACGTTCTAGAGAAAAAATAGGTACCTATAACATTATCAGTGAAAATTTGGTGACTTTAATGCCTCGACGTCTACAAGCAGTGATAGATGCCCAAGATGGATCAACCAAATACTAAGTTTAAAAAAAATTTATCCAAAGAAATTTTTCAATTTTTGTTGTAGCTGTCCGGTGATTTTTTATGTTATCGCTTTTTTTTATTATTGCAATAATTTACTTTTATTTTTCATTAATAAACTTCTTTACAAATGTCTTTGCCTTCCATTAGAAAAACTTTATTGCCTTTCGCTACTTATTAGCCGAAATCACAAAATCAAGGGGAGTATGCACACTTTTTTCCTTAACTATATATTCTTAATTTGACTGGCAAACCCTATTTTATATTCATATTTTTTTGTTTTGGAAATTAATTTCGATTCCACTTACCAATAAAATCGTAGGCTTCTTGAAAATATTGTTTTATATTTTGATGTGGTGTATCACTGGCAGGTATCTGTTTATATTTAAGTCCCGGCGCTGGTCCTGAGCTGGGTGCTTGGCAGGTAACATTCAAAACACAATTGGCGCCCACACTACTCGGATCGCTGGCATCTTTGCCATTGCCCAATAGTAAATGGGGGAAAACTGGTGACGCGGGATGGGTTTCAATATCTATGGATGGCAAGAAAAATAAATTTTAATTACATTAAATATTTAATAATCATAGGAATTATATACAAATATTAAATAAAAAAGTAATAAATAAAATACACACAAAAAAAATAATAATAATGAATAAAATTCGCAAAAAAAAAATATGAACAAAACGATTAAAGCTTTGCAAGTTTAGAAAAACCTATGGGCAGTATTACCAAAAATGGCGCACAAGTACATTATTTAAATCATTTTAAAATTTGCTTAAATTTCCATACTGAGATCTACTACAAATACGACGCAATTGACGCGCTCATTCTGCTAAAAAAGTAGGTATCTAATAAAAATGAAATGAAGTGAAAATATATTTGCGTACAAATATGGCGCTTTGATGAATGATCTTATTACAGTGCTCTACATAAATAAAGTGTGGAGCATTTACAGTATACGTGTATATACATGTAAGTAGGTATGTTGTTCGAGTCGCACGCGCCCAGTTTAGCAATGTTTAAGCTTACATTTATGGGATATAGAATGATTATTAATACAACAATTTTATAATAAGTGCATAATGCGATCATCACATAATAACTTTTTTATTTCCAACAGAATCTCGTTCATGCGCTTAAAAAAGAAAAACGGGAAAATGTGGCAGCCAATTGTATGGTACTGTAATTATGTGTTCCTGTATTTTTTTCGGTTATTTTCGTTCATTTCATTTCGTTATATAAACAATAACAAAGAAAAGCAAAATTATAAAAAAAAAATTTAAATAAAAACATATGCTTTATAAATAAATTTTCAACGCGGCTGTAAATTATTCTTTGTATTACGCTTTACACCGAAAACTGGCCTCATTTAGGCCCTTAATAAAATATTTACTTTTTAACTTTTTTTTTACGAGTTATACGTGCGGTCAATGTATACAACCAACACTAGTATTGCTCAATTGTAACGATTTTTTTCTTTCGTTTTTATTATTTTTGTAAAATGTATTTAGCGCAAATGTGTGCGATCGTTTCACGAGATCTGAAGATCCAGCCAGCAGGCTTGTACATTTAGACATATTTATGTACATATTTATGTATTTGCTGACGTCGCTTCTGCCCTCGAGTAGAAAATAAAAAAGAGTAACAAAAAAAAAAAAAATAAAGTAAAAAAATTAATAAATCGAAATAACGTGTACTTGTAACGTTTGTAATAGAAACGTGTGTGAGCAAATGAATGAATGAAAAAATTGCGTATTTGCTTAGAGCTTGAGTAGCTCATTTCAACACTTTCCAAGCAAGCAAAGAGCTCTAAGAAAATAAATCTGTTTAAAATATTACAGGATGAGGTGTCTGCAGTAAAAATGGGATTTTCATTTTAATTTCTTTCTTGTGTTAGCTAAACACTCAACTCATTATTGCTGTTAAAAAATCAAAAGAGATACTTAATTAAAAAAAAAAATAAAAAAAACACCTACTTATGCTTTGGGTAATCCCGATAAATTTCAAATTTATCAAAAAATTTCTTTCGATTCGGTTAAAGCATTTGGAAATGTTATAGTTAAATCAGTTACCAATATAATTTTTTTTTCGTTTTTACTCGAAACGAAATGCTATTTTTAATGTTAAGTCGTTAACAGATATTGTTAAATCGTTAATAGGTAATATTAAATAGTTAACAGATAATTTTAAATCCATAACAGATAATTTTAAATCGGTAACAGATAATGTTAAATTGCTAATATATAATGTCAAACGTTTAAATTGAAGTGTGCTGTTAGTATCATAGAAAGCAATCATTTTTGAACATACGTTAACGCTGAGTTTGTGCGGTTTCAACATTAACAATTTCATTTCGTTTCGATAACATGGCGTCGAAACGAAACAAAATAATTTCGTTAAGTTCATTTTTCATAGTAGCCAAACGAAATGGCAGCGTTTCAGTAGTTGAGCGACTCTAAATTAGAGCTTTGAAATTTTGTATTCCAATAATTGAAGAACTAGGGTGATAGATTTTTTCCTCCTCCTTTTAGTGAGTATTTTATGCGTAATTTCAAAGCGGTTTAAACTACCACTCCGCTACAAGTTTCCCGACCAGCACGAGGTTAAATGATTGTCTGCTATATCAAAGCTTCGTAAGTCATATTTAAGGCTTTGTAGGAGGCTCGTTTGGAAGCTTATCACCTGTCTGTGTGTATTTGTTGTACATAAATATGCAGGTATGTACATATTTTTTTTTTAGCAAACGTATCAACAGCAATTAAAATCTAACGCGTATTTTTATAGAATACTACGCAGATTCATATGTATATTGCGGCCGCCTTGATGTAATTGCTATTGTTTTATTTTTTATTTTTTTTTATTTCCATACAACATACATTTAAATGCTTTTTTTTGCTGCTTATTTCATTTTTATGCTTCTTTATGCGGTGTGTGTTTTCTTTCAAAGAAACGCAAAAACTCGCCACATAAATACATGTGGTTCGTATGAGTCATGCTAACGATGCGATCGACCGCCACCACTCTGTGAATAACGCAAATGAAACAAAAAACAAAAACAACAAGACTGCTTTAAAAATAGTACATAGAGAGCAACAACAATATGTGCGTTCGTTTGAGTCGTCTGAAACATACCACATGTTTATAAACAAATATATGTATATACGAGTATGTATGTATGTACAAATATATTTTTAGCTAATACACTCCCCCCACCCCACCTTTTTATTGTTGTGTTAGCATTTTTCCGCGTGTTTTGTATGTACTAGCTGTGTAGTTGAATTGTTGTAAATTTTTATTAAGTGCTTTCAATTGAAGTAAAAGCTACATAAATATACCTACATACATACATACATAATATATACAATACATAGATATTTACAATAATAACACACAATACATGCATAAGAGGCAAAATTAATAGCAAAAGCAATCCGAAGACACGCAACAATTGCGGCTGACAGTGATGAGTTGAAAATTTAGGCTGCTGCTGATGAGCGGTGCCCAGCTAATGTTGAAGCGTTCGGGCATAGCGCAAAATTATGACGGAGATGTGTGGTACACATACACATTTTTCATACATACATAGGTACATATGAATGTGGTTTGGCGTAAAGTTGGGTGGCGCATAGTTTAGCATGGTTTTTGTATACATTTTTGCTTGGCATGAAATATTCATGTAACTCGCTTGTAATTTGTAGATTTCATGCATATGTATGTGGTATTAATATCTATGCTATATTAATTAGTAGTCATGCTTTATGTTGCACTAACTGTTTAAATACCATTTTCCGCATTATATATAAGTAAAAAATAAGTAAACATTTTGTGCTAGAAATAAATTATTTTCTTTTTCCTTCTTCACTAGTAAATATGTATATATTTATACTAAATATAGTTTTAATATTTTAGTTTTAGTATTTTATTTTTCTTCTGAATTTATTTTCTCTACTTTCAAATTACTCTCTTATCTATTGAATATTACCTGTACTATATTTACATTGAAAGCGCGCTGTGCTCTCTGCAAAGTAAAACTATTGATTTTCCAACCAATTTAAAAGCGCCTAATTGGTTTGTAAAATATTGTCTTATGTGTATATATATATTCTTTTAACATTTACGTTGCATGCTTTCCTACTGTCGCTGCTGAAAAGGTAAGTTGTTATGATTTTGGTTTAAGTTACTTTTATGGCTAAGAATTACCATGACAACCATCAGTTTTGTTTTGATTATTGTAACTTTGACTTCGTTACGTTTTGTGTCGGCATGCACATTTACATGGGCGAATGGAGATTTTTAAAAAAATTTCAATACTTGCTATCAACGCTTGCAGTGAGCGGAACAAGCTGGTTGCAAAAGGTATTGTGGGAAAATGGAATGTCTGAAACGGAAGCTCCGATTAAAAAAAAAAAATGAAACAAAAAATTCCCATAAAACTATCGCATGAGAAACCAGAAATGAATATAAAAAAATAACTATTATAAAAAATGTGAGTTTTTAGGAAAATTTGTTTACCACAATCTTGGAAAACCTTATCATTATTGTATGTAGTATGACAAATAAGAAGGTATAGCCACAGCCTGATAAGCGGCGCATTAAAGATATCTCTGATTTGAAATATACGACTCAGTTTTCGAAATTAGGGCAGCAAAATTCAAATGATGTATGAAACTTATTTTATTTTAATTTTAACTTTTAATAATTTTTATTTCAATCAAAGTTAAATCAAATTAAATATTAATAAGATAATCTTCATAAAAAGTAAAATATTTCATTCTATAAAAGCATCGTAACGATAAATTTCAGGTAAAACGAAAACTTTTAATCTATTCGGGTGTTGGTCTATTTGAGGGTGTTATCGTTAAGCAGTCAAAATAACGTTAATTTCGGTTTTACAGCAAACAAAAGGCTGTCGTTAATGTTAAATCGTTAAGCTAATGTTAAATATTAAAATTGGACTGTGCTGTTGCTATCATAGTAACATTAACGATGAGTTTTATTTTCGTTTATTTTTCATATTAACAAAGGGAAATGGCATCGTTAGTTGAGCATGATGTTTTCCATTATTTATTTTATTTTTATTTATTATATTTTTTATTTATTATCCATTTTTTGTTATTTATTATTTCTTATTTCTTATTTCTTACTTCTTATTTATTATTTATTATTTATTATTTATTATTTATTATTTATTATTTATTATTTATTATTTATTATTTATTATTTATTATTTATTATTTATTACTTATTATTTACTATTTATTATTTATAATTCATTATTTGTTATGTATTATTTCTTATTTATTAATTATTATTTCTTATTAATTATATATCATATATTATTTGTTATTTATTTTTTATTATTTTATAAATTTATTTTTTATTAATTTCGTCATTTTTACAGTTTTTCAATATGGAACTAATTTTTTTTAAATATATCATGCTACTTTAGGTAAAATCAATTCAATGCCTAGCCGAGCTATGCTCTTTATTCAAATTTGATGTTACGAACTTATTTACTCACAACATTTATATTAAAATTTAAATAAATATATTTGTATTTCCTTGTTTTGTTTTATTTAATTTATTAAGCTTATCAGCATTTCCTGTGAAAGAAATCATCAGTCAGTCGAGAAATATTCGCCAATACAATGGACTTTTTCTTCTGGTTAATTTTTCTCTTCATAATTCCACAGAAATATATTTAAGTATTATTAAAAAGCTCTGTATAGGCAGAATGCGTAACTTTGAAGTGTTTATATTAAGCAAAACATTTAAATTTATTTTTATTTTTTAATTTGGTTTACATACATATGTAGTAATAGTAGGGAAATTCCAAGAAGAAGTATTATATTTTGCGGAAAGAACTTTACTGCTGTTATGATTTATTATTTAATATGAAACATGATTTTGTAAATAATTCATAATTTTAGAAATATATTTTATTGGCGTTTACTTTTTATAAGCCACAGCTTTTAATTATTATTTTTGAAATTTCAAGAGCCTAAATCAAAAAATTTGTATATTTCTTTATTAATAAATTATTATAGACTTTAAATAATTATCATTTCTATTAAAATAACAGTACAAAAATAAGCTAATTTCATTATTGATATTTGCAAAAAAAAATTACTCTTAATTATTTGGTAAAAATTTGATTTTTGAGCAATTTTTTGAGATTACGCGTTTTTTTAAAATAATTTTTGTATATTTTTACCACAATGTCTCATACAATTGTGCGTATTCATGTTTTTTTTTTGGTAACATTCACTTGAATTTCTAAAAATCTCGTCCAGGCCAACCCATTTTCGCTGATTCAACTTGAGATTACAAATGCTCGAAGAATGTCAGTTTGATTTTATTCAACTAAAAAATATCAGCGCGTCCTAGTAAATGACTAATATGTAGGTATAAAGGCACATATAAATATAAGTATGTGTGCATATGTATGTATTATAACTATGCATGATCAATAAAGGTGAGAACTTTTGACACGTCATCGGCTGATCCTGCTGAGTAATCAATGACAAAGTGCAGCTAGCAACAATTTAATGTGAATTTTATCTAATTTCACAATATATGAAATGTGAAATAAAACAAAGTAATTCAGGGTAGGTATACATATACAATATATGTTCATTATAAAAAAATATGTACCAAAGTAAATATGTATACATATGTACTGATTACAAAAAGTTTTGTTGATAATCAATTACAGTCATAGCATGACGAAAATGGGTAGCATGGGTAGCTGCAGCTAAAAAGTGTTATATGATATACATATATATACATATGTATATGTGCATGTGCAAGATAATGTAATAGTTAAGTGTTGAATTAAGTAATACTCATATGCTTACATATGTAAGCGTGAGTAAAGTTAGCCTATGGATTTGTCATGTATGTACGCTTTGCCTATGCAATATGTACGCACATAAATTACAGTTAAATAAGTTTAATAACGAATGTTAATGCAGCAACAAGAGATGAAAAATTAAAATTTCATAATACAGCCAGCAAATAAGCAATTAACGTTTGAAAAATGAATCACATTAGCAGCGTTAAATGTTCAAAAAAAAAAAAATATTGAAAAATAAAATAAAATAAATATATATAATAAAATAAAAAACTTGTGAAAATTCAAAAAAAAAAAAAAATATTGTGCACAAAGACAAGCTTTATTTATTTAATGAACATTTTGGCTTATCACTCGTGTCAACGAGGGCCACCACTGACGCGCAACATCAGCGCCAGCGCCAAGTATATTGGGCGATAAGCTTGATCCCATAGACGGGCAAGAGAGCGAGAGGTACTGGATCCAAATGTACAACAGCGATTGTAATTTAAATTATTTGGTGATAATAAGGAAATGTAAACGCCATATAAATACAAATATGTACATACATACATACCTACATATTATATGTGTGCATTAGTCATTAAGTTACAAAACACACATCTGTACATATACATACATAAAAAGAACATTTTTTTTCTGCTTCTGTCTTAATCTTTCGCCAAACAGCTTTTACTCCGACTTGGCGGAAGTTTTCCATTTGGTGTAAAATAAAAATTCTATATACATACATATGTATGCAAATCATTCTGTTGTTTTCGCGCCGGTTTGTGAAGGTGAAAATGCAAAAACAACAGCGTTAGCTTTAGCTCAGTTGATATCAACATGTTCAGAGTAGTTTTTTACAAATGGCAAATAATTTACATGATTACGACAAACGCAAGAGAACTCTGATAGCGCATCAGCGCACCGTTGTACGCCATGGCGTATGAGCAATGTACAGAGTACAGAAGAATGGCGCAGATTAAATATTTGTGCATGGCTGTATGTATGTATGTATGTATATAAGCGTGTAAGTGTGGCATTTGGCGTGCATGTAGCACGTGCTCAATGCAGTAAACATGTTAAAATGCAACAATAACAAAAACATTAACAACAACAACAACAACAGCAACAGTAAATGACTTGTAATGCACATATTTTAGCATAAAGAACACATGCAAGTGAAAATAATAAGTGCAATAAATTGTTTACATTTAAATTGAATTATTCACCGATTTGCGTACGCTTATAGTAAACTAGAGCTTTTACTTGTATGTGCTTTGTTATTATTATTATTACCCGATTCAATATCGTACTGGCTTGACGAGTTTTACGCGCTTATAATTGGCAGCCATGTCTGAATTTATTTGCCACTTTAATTCACGTTTTAAAACCCCCACTCACACACGCTCTCACTGCAAACTTTTGTTGAATGCCAAATAAATAGTGTAAATTGTTTTTATGCGTCAAATGGCGTTGTCAGATTTTCAATTATTTCATTTTTATTTTAGTTGAAAATTGTTGTTGTTGTTGTTGTTGTTGTTGCTTTGATGAGGAAATAAATATTCATTTAAAATATAAGTAATACGTACGGCTCGATTGATCGCATGAAAAAAGCTCTGAATCGAAAAAAGACTATCGCTGATGAATTTTGCAGCTTTAATTGTGAGAGCAGAGCGAACTTTGATACGCGTTATCATTTATATAAAAAAAAACTTTATAAATGCGAATATGATTTTAAAGAATTTCATGCCATGCACGTTTTCATACCAGTCATATGCTGTCATTTGCATATTTGAAACATATCTAGAATAGGTAACTAAGCTATGCAAGCTATAATCATAATATTGAATGCTACATATGTATGTATATAATTTTTGTTATATTTTTATTACGTTTATATGGGTACATTATTCGGTACACGATTATTTCGTTTATAAAAATATTTTTATTACACTCACCATAAACAGCTGGCGTTGAACAGCTTCTCATCAGTGGTGAACGATTTCCTGTTTGCGGCGCTGTTGAGGACCAATCCTCATTGCAGTCTTCTGAAGGCATTGCCTCAGGTGCCGAAGCTGTGCCATGTGTATCGCAAACTGTGGACCTTTTACAATCTAAAACAAAAAATAAAAAACAAATATTATTTAAATGTCATATGTTCCGAAAAATATATATTATATCATTTACAAAGAAAAAAAAACAAGAAAGTGGTTGAAAGAAAAAAATAAAACAAAACAAAATATTATAAAATAAAATTAAATGAAACAAAATATAATCTATGTGAGGAAAGCAATAACTAAATAAAATTAAATAAAAATAAGCAAAATAAAATTAAAGAAAATGAAGTAAATAAAAATCTATATAAAGAAATAAATTATTAAATAAAATATACCGAATAAAATAACATAAGATAAAAAACATAAAATAAAATAATATGAAATAAAATAAAATTTCATTAAAATAAAATTAAGTAATATATGAAAAAAATTGTATTTATATAAGGAAAGCAATAATTATATAAAGTTAAATAAAAAAGCTATATAAAATTAAATAAAATCAAATATATAAAAATCTGATGAAAAAAATTATTCAAAGAATGAAAAAATTAAGCCAAAATAAATTAATATAAAATGAAATACAATAAAAAAATGTATATCAAATAAAACAATTAATAAAAGTTAGAAAAATAAATAAAACAAAATAAAAAAATATAAAATAAAATAAAATCAAAGAATAAAAGAAATAAAATAAAATAAAATAAAATAAAATAAAATAAAATAAAATAAAATAAAATAGAATAAAATAACTTAGAATAAAATAAAATAAAATCAAATAAAGTAAAAAAAATTAAATGAAACAACATATTATAAACTATATAAGGAAAACATTAATTAAATTAAGTTAAATAAAAAGAAGCTAATTAAAACTCGATAAATAAAAATTTGTATGAAGATAAAAATTATTAAGTAAAATATTTAAAATAAACCCCAATAAAACAAAGCAAATTTAAAATTAAGAAAAAATTATACAAAAAGGAATAAAGAACACAAAGTCTTCTGTTACTTCAGCTTAAATGCAGTAAAATATACAATAAACTAAAACAATCATAGGCATAAACAATTTCTTGAATGTACAGCAAAACGAAGTAATTAATAAACTATAATAAAAGTAAAATGAATAATCAAAAAGAAGTAAATGACGTATATTGAAAATAATTTAGCGCAATCAAATTGACGACCATATACAATATTTGAGTGGTTCGTAGTATGGCGAATCTAACCTGGAGGAAACTGTTCTGAATTGAATGAACCCTTTTGCCGATTGTGTCACAGTTTTAATATCTTCGATCTCTCAGAATCACTCCTTAGCATCAAAAAACTATTCACACTTCTCTCAATAAATGAATTTGAAAATTAAATAGTGACTAAATTTCAGCTGTTGAATAATTGATTTTTCTATAGCTGAACAGTTTTAAATCTCACTAAGAGTTAAGAAGACTAGAAACTACAATTCATTTTATGCCTATTTATTTTTCCTAAATCTTGAGGTTATGTTGAGGATAAAATAATTATACAATTTATAGTAAAAGTGTCATGATTTCAAAAACGATAGATTTCGCTACTACTTGAGAATGACGGAATAATTTTAAACATTCATTTGATAATTATGTATTTCTTCTATGTACATAGGGTGATGATGATTTCCTACCGACCACAATCAAGCACATTAAATTGATACACGCGTACGCTCGACTGTTGGTACCTTAAATAAATCGAATATTCGAAAGAATTAAATCAATCTAAATAGGAATAATTTTCTGTCGCCATTGAAAAAGCTTAGAAGCATAGGAAATAGCAAGTCGCGAATAGTGCTATTTTTTTTATTTTCGTAATAATAATTTTATGTAGGATTTTTATGTTATTTTTAATACTTTTATAATTACAAATTCTTATTGAAATTTATATGTTCTGATTGTTTATAGCCTCTAGCTGCTAACTAAATGAATGATAGAAGTTTGATTATTCAGTTCAATTGGGAATTCAAATAACAGAATGAAAAATAATGATAATACAATATTAAAATATTAATAATTAAAAATATGATTAAATACATGATAGCAATTAAATTAAAACAAAAAAGGTGAACTATTGTTTTACTAAAGAATTTTAGCAGCAAAACTATTTGAAAAGCTTTATTAATTAAAAAAATTCGAAAAAGTACAAAATGGTTTAATTTTGTAGTGTATAAAAGTTGTGGTAAATGGTAATATTATAACTTTGTAGTTTTCTTCTAATTTATTTTATTACATTCTACTTGTACACGTGTGATTTTTCCAAAAATTTCTAACGAAAGCTATATTTGAAATAGTAGCTTTGAAATACACATACATATGAATATAATAAATCTGTAGCTACCAAAAAAAAAAAACCGATCGAAAATTAAATTTTATAATCGTACAAACATAAGATTTTTTTCTTTTTAAAGCTAAAATTATTTTTCTCATGCTTGCGTATATACATACATACATATATACATATGTATAGTAGGTATAATATGTATGTAGGTATAATATATTATATTATGGTACAAAAATTGTAGCGCCAGCAGTAATTCAACTCGACTGTTGCGTCCGTTCTCGGCTCGCTCATTACGCACACAGAGCAGTTCATTTTCAATTCATGAATTTCAAATTTCAATTCATGACTTTTGTAGAATATACGATTCACAATGTGAATATTGTACAGTTTGGCGTACAGTAAAACGTTTTGTGCGATATACATATATGTGTGTATATAAGTTTGTACATATAAGCACATTTGTAGAACTTGCTTTGGTACGAGACAACAACAGTCAACAAAAGTTGATTAGAAATTATGCTTATCAGCATGAAGTGAATTAAAGGGACTGAGTATATAATACATATTATGCATATACATATGTATGCATATTTATATTTATAAACTAAGCATAATGTGTAATATTTTTTTACATGTTTTTTTTTTGGTTTAAGATTAACCAAGTAAACAATTGAAAGAAGAAATAGTTGTGATCAGATTTTTTTTTTTGGATCTTAATGAAAATTTCATAGAAACCCATAAGTAATGGTGACAACGATTTAAAAAATAAAAAAAACTAAAAAAAGTGTTGAAAAATGCATAGACTATCCGCTCATGGTAGACATATTTTTATTACATATGTACATTACATAAAAAAGTTTAAATTCATTTTATTTCATGCTTGAATTTACAAAAATTTAAACATGAAACAATTGAACAAAAAAGCTGATTGCGAATATTTTTTTGCACAAACAGCGGTTTTGCATTTTTTATACTTTTCCTTCCTTTCCAGTTGACGCCAAAGGAAGCAGGAAACATGTTTCGACACAGCTACTGTTTGCCGCTATTTTTTAGGCTTTTTTTTTTTTGTTTTGTACTTTTTATACATAAAGTACATACATACATGTGTGTGTAATTCGATGCAGACAGTTGCCGCGTTGGCAATTTGTTGGCTCAAGCAACAACGGACAAAGAACGCGATAAAATTAAAGTATGAGAATTAAAAAAAGCAAAAAAAAAAACAGAAAATCATATGAAATAAAAATTAAATGCAGAAAATCACTTGAATCGACGCAGAGGAGAAATGAGAAAAAAAATACATATGAGGAATGATAATAATAAGAGGGTTGCGTTGCTTGTAGAAAAGAATGTTATAACAATAACAAAAAAAAAAAAAATAATAATGCAAAGCAATGCAAACAAAGTATGCCAAGAAGAAGAAGTAGAAAAACCAAGAACTGCCAGCCAATCAACAAACGCACTAATGTATCTACATACATAGGTAGGTACGTAAGTACATATGTGTATATGTGTGCATACACGCTCTATAACTAAATAATAAACAAGCAACAAGCTAAACAGAATTTAAAAAACAACAAACGCAACTGAGGACAAACTCAACAGACACACCAAACAACAACAAGAACAACAATAATAATAATATCACAGCACCAACCAACCAGCCAAGTTAAGCCAACTAGCTACGTCACCTCTGCACAAGAGTCAATACCTGCATGCAACAACAGTATAAAAAAATAACAAATACAACACCATCAGCAACCGGAGTTTCGGCAACAATAATAACAAAAACAACAACAATTTATTGTGGTATAGCAAAAACTCGAACTCGTACTCGAAAGGTCGTTTCAAAACGGGTTCAAAACAGTGTTGCCAACTACAACAACGGCATATAATATACTATGTACTATACAATAAACGGAAAGCACCGCCAACACGCCAAGTCACATTTTTGTTTCTTCGTGGCGCTCGTCTCCTCAGTTGTTTGACGTGTCGTTGGCTTGGCGGTGAATTTGCAGCTTGAGCGAGTGTTGGAGTGTGTTGGAGCTGCGCTTTGACTGTCTGTCCGTCCGTTTGTCTGCCAGTTTGCTTGTTATTTAGTTGTTTTTGTATATGTACGTTGTTGTATTTGCAGTTACTGGTTTAGTTTGCTGCTTTAGTTATTCATCAAGTGTGGGGGGTTTCGCATTGTTACTGTTGTTGTTGTTGTTGTTGTTTGCGAGAATTTATTTTGTGGTGCTTTTTGTTTTGTTTAATTTGACGCTTCTTTCTTTCATTCTTCATTTGATATGTCTCTACGCTTCTTCGCTCGTTTGTGACTCACTTTGCGATACATACATATATACATACACATATGTATAAACTGTCTGAGTTTCTGCGCTTATTGTTGTTGCTGTTACTCAGTTGCTGATATGAAATATTGTTTTTTTTTTTCGATTTCTGCGCTTGATTGCAGATGTTATTGCTGTTGCCATTTGTTGCAAGTGAAGTTATCTGTTGATTTTTTTTGGCATAAATTCCTTGCTGCTGGAATTGTTGTTGATATTATTATTTTTTTTTTGCAAGCGTATGTCGTACAGAAAAAGGCGCGAAAGTGCAACTTTGAAATTATCGTAAAACGACGGAAATAAGTATGTTGTAAGGGATAGATTGCAAAGCAGTTGTGCACCCTATAAAATTTTTGTACGTAGATACCTACTATTTGTTAAATGGGTGTAGGGAAATTCATAGAATTAGAGTTTTGAAATATTTCAAAGCGAAGTAAACATTTTAAGTAACAAAAAAGGTTTTCTGAATTAATTAATTCATTCCTTTTTTAGCATAAGATAAAAATAAGTGCACAAATTTAATCTCTCTAACAATAGTTATTTTCGAATATTTCGAAATAAATCATTACAAATACAATAAAAACTCTTATGCTGATGATTCATGAGCAATTCTCACCACCTGTATTACTTTTATTTATATATAATAAAAATATTATATATGTATGTATAATTCTATGCTCGTAAGAATCATATTCAAGAATATAGTTCTAAGAATTTGTGTGAGACATTATGTGATAATTTTCATAAACCGCAAAATATCCGCTTAAAAGAGTCAAATAAACGTTTAGATCACATTTAGAGCAATAAAAATTTATGATATATTCCTAATCAGCATTTATTATAAGTAACTATTTAGGGGAAAACTGCTGAAATGTGAGTAAAAAAGTTATAATTATAGTTGTAAATAAGAAATAGACGCCGATCAAACGAAAGATCAATTCAAATTAATTATAGGTATACAGATATTGTGATATATTGCTTTTTTCATACATTAAATTGGGAATTCCCGCCAAATAATTCAATATTACATGTGCATACATATATGTATACACATGTAAGTAGCTACTTTATTGCAAAAAAACCTTTGTCGTGGTGTTCAATTGTGATTCATTAAATTTCCTAATAAGACAATAGTAATTACTCATGTATACTTTCAACATTTTTGAAAGTTATAAATAATATTAAGTAGAAATTGTATATTTCTGCAGAAGTAAACTAAGAAAAATATCATTGTCTTTCTTTTCACTATTTATTTTAAGTTATATTATTGGATAATCGTGTTTTTAACTCACAACTATTCTAAATTTTATTAAAATTAACTGCTCAAAGCCGTTCACCTCCATCAAGTTGCCGCTTAACAGTACAGTGCAGCGCACCAAACTTTCGTTCCGTCAACAACTGGCATAACTTCCGTTACAGATAAAATAAGCCTACATACACTACCAACATAAACTACAAAGTAAATGATTTTCAAACTGCAACAGTAATAATAAGTATGGGCATTAATAGTTATATGTATATATATATGTGTATGTACATGTAAATATGAAATTATGAAAAATATGTCATTGCTCTATAGAATAAATGGTTTTTATTTATTATAGACTATTATGTGATACAAATTTATGTAAAGGGAATTAAAAAATAATATAATAACTTCAAAATTTTCTTAGTTGTTTGCATATAAAGAAAGTGAAATAATGGTTATAGAAAATGGAATAACGAAGGTTTGAGCGCCTTGATACTGTTCAATGGTTTGACGAAAAAACGATATGAGAACTGACTGCCAATCGTTAAATGAATAAGATATAAATGATATATCGATAAACAAATATTTTTCTTCATTTTTAATTGATAAAGAAGGCATGCGACTCCAATATTAAAAAAAAATTACATTAAATTTTGCTCATACTTTAAAACATATTTGGGAAGCATCATATATATACATACACATTTGTATGTCTGTACCTACATACATATGTTTAATATAAATAAGCCTTTTTATTCATATTGCATATTTCAACGCTGAGTAATCATTGATATTTTGGTAAAATTCTAATTTTATACGCATATTTTTGCTAATATTAAACCAGCCAAAACTTTTATAAGCAAACTGAAAATGAATGCTAAAATTCGGAAAATGCGCAACGTGGGCGTTTAATAGCTGGGAAGTGTTGAATTATTGCATGGCAAGCGATGTATATATGAACATACATATGTATATATATACACAACATAGTATGTATGTATGTATACACGTAGGGAAAATTTTTCCAATACGATTAAAATATAAATATATACATATGTATGTACATCTGAATAACACACATGCACGTCAACAAAGGTGGGCGCAGGTTGGGTGTTAGAAGCGTGTGCTTATAGTACTCATCCTCCCAAAAACCCAACGACCTATAGTCGTACCTACAGCCATACATTTTCAATACATATCATTGCCTAAAAGTATTTTAATAACTGAGTGTATTTTATGAAAAACCACATATACAAGCACAAAGTAAAAAAACACACACACGCAGCTACACCATTTGTAAATATATACGCACACACGTCACATAAGCCATACAAAGGTTTGTATGCATATATGTGTATAAATATACACATTTGTACCTACCATTTCTGCTGTTGATTGTCCTAAATCTCAGCACGAGCAGCGGTGATTCTCTCTTTACCCGCATTTTCATTTCACTTTTATGACTCACGCTCTTGCTATCGCACTCGCACACAATATTGTGCGACACACGCTAGACTCTTCTCTCACTGTTTTTATACTACTCGTGAATTGTTTTTGTTTGCTTTTTTTTTTGTTATTATTGGCTGCTGCGACGCGAGCAGCGGCAGTGCTAACGACAGCGGAGTGAATCACAAAATCGCACTTGAATGCTATCAGTATATGTGAACGTTTGTAGCCAAGTTGGGGTCTTCGCCTCTCACACTCTCTTTGTGTTTGACGTCGATGAATGTAAATTTACAATGAGATTTGATTTACTTATCTGCTGTTGCTATTCTTGTTGTTGTTACTGTTGTTGTTTTGTATAATTTTAAATAATTTCTTATTTCTCGTTGTTATTGTTATTGTTATTATTGTTTAGATTGTATAAATTCAATGTGTGTTGTTGGTGTTATTATTGTTTTTGTCACCACTGGCTTATTAGATAATATGTGTGAACCAAGCGCACTTTTGGGGGAATATTATTGAAATAATTAACGTAAATAGAACTTTAAGAAAACTCGAGTTTATTTCACTTTGGTAAGTAGGTATGCACATATATATGTATGTGTGGGGTATGGCGGTTCGTAAGTTTGCATAAATTGAACAGCACTTACTTTAGTTTGAATTTGTATTCACTTTTTCTTTAAATTTTCACTACGTTATAATTCGCTGTCTTCTTCTCTTTTATCTGATTTCTTTTTATTAAAATTATACTTGCACTTCGTATAATTGTAATAGCTGTTTTAGTGTTTTGTTTTTTTTTTTACTTTTTGTCAGCTATTTGTGGCTTACAAGCTATGTTTTTCTTCTCTTTAACTATTTCTCTCTTCTCAACCACACTTTTCTGTATTTTTTTTGTCCGAAATTCCTGGCTAATAACTCGGCTTAGTGGCGGCTAGGTTGATTATTAAGTTATGTGTATATACATATGTGTGAATGTTTTTTATATTTTTATTTTTTTATTCAATTTATTATTTTCTTTCATTTTTTCTATCCAACAATTCGATTTTTACTCGGACTGTTGTGTATGTGCGTATGAATTTGATTGAATGCAACAGGAGCGTCAATATTGGGTAAATGACGTAAACTCAATTAATCATCAATGGGTTACCCAAACACTTAATTTGCTGGTTTCTTATTTATTTTAGTTTAAAAACTATTTTAGCTCTTCTTTTACACAAATGCGTGGTTGTTGGTTTATTGGTTAGTATTAGTCGGTTGGTTTGGTGTTGGTAGTTGTTGCTAAAAGGCACTTGTTCGTTCCTTTTTATCCGCATTTACATATTTTTTTTGTTTAATTTACTTATAAATTCGTTGCAGTCGCATTTACTTAAGCTGAATAATATTTGCTCGTTTTACAAAAATTTTTGTTTTCTTTTGCTTTTTTTTCGCTAATTTCTTCTTGAATTAAAGTCTGCACTCGCACTATTATGTATGTAAATGATTTGTAGAAATTTATTTGCTTTTTATTAAGCTCATATTTGCATGTTAGCTCTTTAAATTTTCCGTTTCTCTGTCGGAGCACAAATTAAACTTGACTTCCGTCGATTATTCCGACACACACGTCCACTCGCTTGCAATCTTCGAATTCGTATGAAAGCAAACGAGAAATCTACTTGTTCATATTTATTCAACAATATGGATAAATGCAGTCGGCCAGACTGCTCCTATTGTGAATGGCTACTTTTGATATGTGAATAATTGAAAAATACACCAACACATGCGTGAAGGCGAATTCACCACAGTAACTGAGTGTTGGCAAATATATTTCTATTTTCCAGCAGATGTCGCTTAATAGCGGAAGTGTTACGGCAAAAGTTAGAAACAAATGGTTTTAAGCGCCCTCAGATACATAGATATTGAATATGAAACATTTAAACGAGTATTCTTCCTTTTTGTTTGTTTTTGCAACTCCCAACCAAAACTGTGAAATAAAATATTTTTATGGAAAACGCTTACATTCTAAGCTTATTTATTTTTAAAACTAATTCAGCCTTTTTTCCGCACAGAACAGCGCAAGGAGCTGCCTCTACGCCGCTATATCTCAATTTGGTATCCCCGCAAAACTTATGCGGCTGAGTAAATTGACGCTAGACAACACTAGAATTGCGAGGAATCTTTCCGAGCCGTTCGGAACCAAACAAAGTTTTAGACAGGGTGACTCTTTATCGTGTGATTTCTTCAACTTGATGGTTCATGCAATAAAAACAGAACTTTTACAAGAGTGTACAACTGCTTGTGTTTGCCATAACAACCTGGCCGTTAGTTCGGCTTGCTTTAGACTTGATAAAAAGCGAAGCGAAAAAGGCTGGCAGTAAGCGATGATAAGACAAAATATTTCCTGTCGTCAAATAAACAGTCATCGCACTCGTGACTCGGCTGCCACGTCAATGTTGACAGTCATATATAACAACCACAACAATGTCAGACTTGAAATCCAACGCAGATTCATTCGTGCAATCAGGTGCTGCTTTGGTTTGAGTAGACAATTTAAAAGTCAAGTCCTCTCTCAGTGAACCAAAACCAAAGTCTACAAGTCACTCTTCATTCCCGCCCTACTGTATAGAGCAACAGCCTACACGATGTCGACATTCGATGAGTCGGCTCTGGGAGGATAGTTTTGCGTATGACTTATGAACCTTTAGGGTAAATGTCAATACGATGAAACGATGAGCTGTACAAGTTATACGGCGGCTTTGATTTAGTTGAGCGAATCAAGAAGCAGCGGCTACGCTGGCTAGGTCATGTGGTCCGGATGGATACGAAAACTCCAGCTTTGAAGCCGGTGGAAGCAGAGAAAGAGGAAGACTTCCACTCCGTTGGAAAGACCAGGTAGATAAGGACCTGGCTGTACTTGGTATTTCCAATTGGCGCCAAACAGCAAAAAGATGAAACGAATGGCACAATGTTGTTAACTCGGCTACAATTGCGTAAGCGGTGTCTATGCAAGTAAGGCAAGTAAGTAAGTTTTATTTTATCCCATTTTTGAAAACACACTTCTTACATAAGTTTTCTTATTTTCTTATTTAATTTGCACTTGATCTAACAAAATATACAATAATAGTTTCAGCGGCCACAATAGCCGAGTGGTTAACATTGCAAACTGCCATTCTGAAGCCAAGGGCTCGAGTGCTGATTCAACAACAACAAATTAATCTTTCTAATTACGGTCGACCCTTCGCAGGGAACATCAAGTCTTCCGAGTATATTTATGACATGAAATAAAAGCTCCTCATAAAAATCCATCCGCCATTTGGAGGCGGCTTAGAATAAACTGTAAGTGCCATTAGAGGCAAACCTCAAATTTCAAGATTAGCTTAGCAGAAAATCGCTTCAGCGGCTATAAAGTGCCTATTTTGAAAATATTATTAATTTTTACTGCACTTCACTGATGTGAGATCATATATTTACTATTCTCTTTTATTACAATTCAATTTATTAACAACTTAGTTCGAAGTAAATTAACACTTATTTAACTTAGTTTTTAGCTTATTTCTAATCAACGTTGAGGTCATGTGGCGTTGGAACTACCCAACCACCTAGTGTGGATTCTAGTTCTCGTGCAATTTGAAAGCATAACCTATCATTGTAAGGCGCAGCAACTACTTGAAAACCAACTGGCAAACCATCCTTATCCTTGCCCATTGGTATGTGAGTCGCCGGGAAGCCTATAATATTGAAGATCAGCGTATAATCAATATTCCAAAGAGCTAAGAGTGAAGTATTGTGATGTAATGCAGGTACCGGGAATGTGGGGAGTAGAAGTACACCATTATCACCCAACATTTTCTAAAAAAAATAAATAAATTTGTTTTTAAGTTTTTCCCTTTTTTGTCCCTAAATATGAGGAATCTTATAATTAAATTGCTTACAGCCAAATTTGCTTTCAACACTTCTGCTTCCGCTCTGTATTTGTTCGTACGCTCAGCTTTTATTAGAATATTTACACGTCGCAATAAATCGAAATAAATGCCTTCCTTAGTGTATTCTGAACGCCCCAAAAGCGCCTTATGAAATTCAACAAGATGTTCGAATATTTTATTTGAACTATTACTATTGATTATATATGGAAAACTCTGTAATAATACTATTCCACTTATTGATATTTCGAGTGAATTTTTGAAAAGGCTCATTGAAGCCCTTTCGGTGTAGCAACCGCGATTTGCTAAACACTTTACAGCTGTTTTAATAGCCATCTCCATTGCGCAAACTGGAGTTTTGTGCAAAAACCCGTTGAGTTGCTCAAATCCAAAGGAGTAATAAACCTGAATGAGAGTGCGGAAATAAGTTATGTTAGTAATGCGCTTAAGGCGCCATTTAGACTGAAAAAAATATTTCAATAACGCTTAAACCATCTTAAGCTTTTACTAAACGAAAATTATTACTTTCACACTCTACAAAACGATCCTTACCATTATATCCTTTGTTGCTATTCTCGATTTCAAGTTAAGTTTTACAGCATTTTTGCCGGCCATGACATGCATTAGTAAACTCAAATCGCAACCGAAGCGTGTAATGGGACCCATTTGAAGAAATTCACGGCCATCAGGCTCCCGACAATTAGGGAAATGACCTACAATTGAGGTGACGCCACCAGTTGGCTTGTGCCCGAAAACGCCATTGAATAAACTTGGAAGACGTATTGAACCCGCGATATCCGAACCAACGCCAAACAAGGTGGCACCGGCGCCATTCAAAGCACCCTATATGAAGACGAAAAAAGAAAAATGCACGTTGCATTTATGAAAGTATTAATATTTATTTTTGCAATATTTTTATACTTCACCACCCGAAGAGCCGCCCGGTGTACGTCTATCGTTATGTGGATTTAAGCAACAGTATTGAGTTGCCGGTTGTGTTTCCATGCCGTAGCAATACTCGGAAGTTACTGAAACCAGCAATGGTATGCCACCAGCTTTCACCAGATGGTTTACAACCTCACCATTCTTGGGGCATATCATGTTAGCGCGCTGACGACTACCAACTCGAAAGGGCATGCCTAAAAAAATGTATTTGGTTCGCGACCGTAAGTAAGTTAGCTGAAGTTTATGTTTGTAAATTAATATTTCCATACCTTTTAATCCGCAAGACTCTTTAACAGTAAATGGTGCACCCAAGAGAGGAAAACGTTCGAACAGTGCCGGTATGTCTTCATCTTTTGTCCCAGCAATGACTTTATCAGCGCATAACGCATCGTCTATGGCCTCGTCAAAACAATCATGCACCACAGCATTGATATAAGGCTCCACATCTTTAATGCGCTCAATATAAGCTCTGACTAAATCTATGGACTTAAGCTGAAACAATAATGTTAAAATAATGATGGAATTTTTTTTGTTGTTACTCTATAGTTAAAAGTGGCTAAGACCAGATTTTATGAAATTTAGATGGTTTGCGAATGCTCATATTAAATATTGGTAAAGTAAGAATTTCGTTCGGCTTTTTATTGATGCCAACGCCAATTTCATTATACCCCTCTCGTAGGGGCTGCGTTCCTATTGGCAAAAAACTCGCAAATCAAATTTTCACATGCCTCTCTTGAGGCCAACTTTTCACCATTAAGCACGTTCGCTATGGACAGGAAAAAATTGTAATCACTTGGTGCCAGGTCCTGAACATAAGATGGGTGAATTAGGACCTCTCATCCGAGCTCCTGGAGTGTTGTCCTGATGGAACACAATTCGGCCTCTTCTGGATGAGTGTTGCTTTCAAGCGGTCCAGTTGTTGGCAGTAGAGGACCGAGTTGAGCGTTTGGCCATAGGAGAACAGCTCGTTATAGATGATTCCTTGCCAATCCCACCAAACGCACAGCAAAACCTGGTGCATTTTGACATCGGAACGGAACCCAGCAACCTAGTGTTCTACTCGTTCGTTTACAGTATCGGGCTCATAAAATAAATTAATTTTTTCAGCCTCTTTGGCTGCTTTTTCGCCTTGACCGAAGGAAAATTGTAAAATGTAGCAAAATTTTTCTTTGCTGGTGTCCATCTTTGACGAGCGCTCACAACGTACTGAGTCAAAAAATCGAAAAATTGTCAAAGACAAACTTTTAGCGCGAATAAACGCACTAGCGCCGTATAGTATGATAAGATAGGACTCGTAACACTAGTACTATCGACAATAACGCCATCTCTTAGATAAAAACCGAACGAACTTTTTACTTGACTAATATTTTACCTTATACACGTATGTAGGGAAAAACTCATAGCAAGGCGGCATCGTAACGATAAATTTTATGTTATTCACAAATTTGAATCGTTTAGGTTGAAACATTTGGAAATATTATCGTTAAAGCAATTATCATAATAGATTACATTACCTTTTTACCCGAAAAAAAATGCTGACGTTAATGTTAAGTCGTTAACAGAGAATGTTAAATGTTAAATTATTAACAGATAATGATATCCGTACCCTGGTTTACGTTAAAATTTATGTTAACGCTGAGCTTGCGCCGTTCCAAAATTAAAAATTTCATTTCGGTTCGATAACATTGCGCCGATACGAAACAAAATCATTTCTTGAAGTTAATTTTTTTATATTAACATAACGAAAGCTTTTTACCTAGCCGAGTATCTAGCCCATAGAGCTCTAGAAGAAATCTGTCTCACTCACAGAATATTGTTCAAGACATTTAGTTATAAACAAGGTAAGTATAATTTATAAGAGTGAAATGTTTATGGTGTTGTTATTGCTGTTGTAGCGGCAAAGTGATAAGCTCATCGATACATTTTTTATTTAAGATAAAATTTTCTAATTGCTGTCATCCCTTGGTCGGGAGAGTCAAGCACTCCGAGTGTATTTCTGAGATGAAATAAAGTGACCTCATAAAAAACAATTTACCGTTCTGTGTCGACTTAGTATAAACTGTAGGTGCTTTTATTTGTTGGCAAAACGCTAACGAATCGGAAATACTTCCAAGCCCGATTTTCAAGATGGTCTTTATGTAGCTTTTATTGTCAACTGCGACTATAAAATGTCTGCTCTTTTAGTTTTCCATACGAAGCAATATATGACGAATATGGATCAAGGTTCATGAACAAGCAATGAGGGGTCAGCATAAGCAAAAGCTATGACGTTTTTTTTTAATAAAATCCTGGCGTCTTTTCGGATTGCGTTGAACTTGTGGGCAGTACTCCTTATTAATGATTAGATCTGATGCAGGAATTTATGTTGCGCTATGCCATTAAAATCGAAGAATCCAAAGCGAATCTGTGAAATCATCGGTTACCCTCTTCACCAGCTGTGCTAAGGAGTACCGGCTTGAGTTCGATGACAAAAGCCTCTATGCGTTAACTGGCAGCACCTTTGGAAAAGACAAAGACATGTTGCTGGCAACATACGAGTTAAGACGTGTGCACCCAAACATACACTTAATAGTTATCGAACCGTCTTCTAGTCACATCAGAAAGAAATAACACGACTTTGGGGACTACACTCAGCTGGACAGTTGGCCAAAAGGCACTAAACACCAATCATCCTGAACTATCTTCCAGTGAATGGTGTTCCCGGAATCAAACCACCACCCATTGCAGACGAAGAGTATGAGCTACCTCGAGAGACCCGCATAACTTTGGAACAGCTAGGATCCTTACATTATAGACTCGATTTCGACATACCCAACGTTTGTCCTGCATACAATGAGTCCACGCACGACACTGACCCCCTCTTTGCATGCCTCCTAAAATCAACTCATCAGCTGTACCTGCCGTTAGATGACCTCGATTACTTGGAGTGATCTTACCTGTTCCTAAAACTAGCTACAACAAGAACACAATGCGTATAACGTTAGTTTCAACTGATTTTGTAAAGCTTTTCGACCTTGGCGAACCAGAATACCTCAAGCACGATGATTGAGACTCAGTTTCGTCGTCTTATCCGCTGACCCACGTTTCGTCACCGGTTATAATATGTTTGAGTAATTCTACATCGTACTTTTAGTGAATTCTATGCAACTCTCTTCTCGCAGTTTTCGTTCAAAACTCAAATAAATTTATTCGAAAATATTTGCCACGGCGCCATTCAGATTCAAAATACTGGTAAATTTGTCGGGATATGATCCAATCAAAATGCCAACGTAGTGACTTTTTAATAGTTTGCAACCATTTCTTGCATTTTTTTCTTTCAACAAACCTTTATCCTTAGTGGCTGTCAGGGACAACAGTGAGATAAGTCAGTAAGATTTAGCCAAAAACAAATGTCATAATTGCGCAGTTCAGTAAAAATTGGAAACAAGGACAAACAGGACAAAAGTCAAAAGTAAAAACATTTGGAATTTGTATCGTACTTCAGAGCAAATATTAACGACATAAAAACGGACTCTCTAAGCCCGCGAAACTTAAAAATTTTCTATATTTTTGAACAGAGGTTGTATTCATATTTTATTTTAAATTTTCTTCTCTTAATTAATACTCTTTTCTTTTCATCTTAACCTTAAATTTTCATGTCTGATGGCCCATGAGTAAGCTAAAAACATTACGGTAGGTTAGAGAAAGAATTGACATTAATGCATTTTTCACGAAGCATTGCTTAATGAAGCGAAACTTTTTTTTAAATAAAAACAAAAAATATATGATTACTTTTTTATAATTATTATTTTTAAAAAATATATATAAGAAATTGCTTTCTACGGCAGTTAGTTGTTTTGAATGTCTCTAAGTTCTGTTAACTTTTTGATATCTTGAGGTCATAACCTTTATGTCAAGCTTTATATTAAAGCATGGAATTATTTATGTACATGTACATATATAGATTTGTGATATAAAACTGTATTTAATTTACAGCTGATCTTTGTTCCTTAATACAATTTTATTTTCACTCGATATTATTTAAAGAAACACTCATATTTGAATCTTACCTTCCGTTGTCCCATCAACTCAATTACTTCGACCAATGAAAATGTTAACAACTCATTGCTTATGGGCGGAATACGTACTGGATTTTTCTTTGGTTCCATAAAGGGTAATATCCAATAAAGTATTGCATAACCAATTGACATAAAAAATTGTATACATCGCAGAACAAGCTCCATTATGACTCTTTTTTATAACCGAACCACAATATTTTAAATATATATTTTATTTGGGAAACACAATTCTGTTATTCATAACGTGTCATTCGCACTTCTCACAACATTGAGGGAGCGTGGCGTACTAAACGCGAAAATTCAGCAAATGTTTACGTAGACCGCTAGCGTTAAGTTCAGCTGGAGAATGATTATGCCGAGAGGCAATAGACCGGTATTATTGCACTAAAAACAAAAAAAAAAAAGAAACTGTAACGAAACAAACAAACCACGAAATGTTATTTAATTTTGTGTTCTTAAATACACGTACATGCATGAATGTATTTGCCGATATTTTTTATACCTTCCATGTGCATGAAATTAACTTTGCTCCGGAGCAGGCGCTAACGCACGGCGAAAGGTGGATTGGAGTTCAACAAAAAGTGTTTTTCGTACTTAAACTAGATCAAAAATGAAGATTTTCGGTGAAGATCACTTAAAAACTCACACGCCAATCTGTCCAATTGAAATTTGTCCCAGAGGAAGACACATTTAGTCATTTCAAAGTTTTCAAAACCAAATAATTTCAGTTTTACTAAAGAGCTATCTAAATTTCGAATTTCAAGCAAATCGAACGGTAAATAAGATTCTTTTGGATAGATCGGCACCGAAAAAAATTCTGCTCGCATTTCACCATCTATGTTCCATATATTAGGCAAAACCGAACCCTATGGATGTTTGTAGGCAAACAGCTATTTCTGTACAGAATATTTTTGATGTAAATCGAACCAGAAGCACAAATTTTCGAATAGATCGACCACACTTTTCGCAAGAAAAAAATACTCACCATTTTAATTTAAGCCCAAAACTTTCAACTCGGTGCAAAATTTTATGTAAATCAAACGATGAATATAAACTTTTCGAATAGATTTGCCCCTAAACCACTTCCCGGAGGAAAAAGTATTTACCGAGTCAATTTGGGCAAAGAGCTACCTATCTCTATGAAAATAAAATTTCATGAAAATCGAAAGATGTAAAAACACTTTCGATTATTTCGAATAGATCGCAGATTCACAACCTAGAAGATCTTATCTTATCGGATGCCTAAACTGACCTCATTATTGCAAGAGAGCAAAAAAAAAAAAACAATCTTTGCCACAAGTCATATTCAACTGATTTGTTCAGATCCGGTTTTGGGTCAAAAATCTCTAAAAAAAAATATCTGAAAGCATGAAATTCGGTATTGTGTGCTCGTACCTACAACTAAATATTGACCGCAAAAATCATCGAATAAATATTTTACCCAAAATGTAATAGCATAAATTAGAGATGGTCAGGAAGGCATAAAAACCAAAGCTGCACGCTTCAGGTCAATGAAAGAATTGCTTTCGTTTCGGTTGAAACAATTGGAAATATTAACGTAATACTAACGTCTAATCGAAACGAAAAACATGTTAAATCGTTAAAAAACAATTAAATACTCATAAAGACCTTGGTATTTTACTGGTTAAGCCTGAAATTGAAAGAAGCAGGACGAAGTACTTCACAAAGCTGAGAAATCATCCAAATCCGCTAATGCTTTATGCAACCCATCGAGAAATTCCCGTTTGCAGCCAAGAGATGTTCCCGCCTTCTAAGGAGAGCGCCGTAGTTTGAAAGAACTCAGAGTTAAATAACTCGAGCTATCATGTTTGTAATTTAGTTTTTAAGATTTGTACTCTTACTGTTAGGCTTATATTATAGCAGATCCAGTAAATAAATGAATTGTGTATAAAAAAAAAATCGTTAACAGATAATTGGAGTGTGCTGTTAATACCATAGCAAGCAGCCATTTTAAAATTGACGTTACACCGAGTTTATGCGATTTTAACATTATCGATTTCATTTCGTTCAGTTCTTGTTCGCGAAACGAAATGATATTGTTGCGTTTGCTCAGTATCTCTGTTAAAAACTCTTATTGGTTATACTTTCTTTCGGTGTGCTTATGTATACATATAGATATGTATATATGTATATATGTATATATGTATATATGTATATATGTATATATGTATATATGTATATATGTATATATGTATGTTAATGTTTGTTTTTTTTTAGTTAAAAGTTTATTAATAATAAAACATGCCAGAGTCGCATAATGCTCTTTAAAGTTTTTCTTTTGTGAAAGTTGGAGCATTATTCATTTACAAAACGGATTTTATAAAAATGATAAAAGTGGTTAACATTTTTCCATACAATTGCAAATATTTTCCAACACACCCAAAACATTTGAATAAGGTGCACAGATGGCCATATAGTAATAATAAAATTTATTTAAAAATGTAAAATTCAGTAAACGTAATAATAATAATTTTTAACAAGCCAATCGCTTTTTAAACATTATTAGAGCTTTAAGAATTTTCGGTTATAAATTTTTTTTTATTTTTTGCGATAAATCAAACCATTCAGAAAATGATAATTAAAATTATTTAATGTTTTATTTTTCCCATCAGATAAAGTTTTAACTTTTCAACTTTATTTAATATTTTCGCTCAAAGGTAATAATTATCCCTTAGGCTTATATTTTTCAAATCAACACTAAACTTGTTTATTGAGTTTTTTTTTCCTTTGTCAAAAATCAAATATACATTTCGTGTTAAAATTTATTAATATTTTTTTATGCTTGAGCAATAAAACTTCTTTTTGAATAAAACTCAAAGAGTATAAAATATTTTCGATAGAAAAAATAAATCTCAAATGAAAATTATTTTTAATCACAAAATCAAATAAGATAATTAAATATTGAACATGCTGTGTTATATCTGATAGAATTGAAAAATAATTATTTTTTTTTTATATTTTTAACTTTCCTTGTTAAGTAAAAGTACATGTGTGACTTATCGTAATGTCCTTTTTATAAGTACAAATTAGCTGTGACTAAGAACAAAATAAAAAAAAGAAATAATTTTTATAATTGCAGTCGGTTTTCGGCAAAGAATGTCAATCGCCCTGAGTGTTTTTCTGACATGAAAAACCCATTGACCTCATAAAAAGCCATCAGCCGTTTGGGGCGATTTTGTTGGGAAACATCAAGATGCAAAACCACAAATGGAAGGAGTAGCACGGCCGAAAATCGATTCAGTGGTTTCAAAGCGCCAATTATGTAAAATATAAATAAGGTTACTGCCAAAATCACCTTTCGGGCTTATCGGCCCATATTGAAATCATAGATTTTTATTTTATATATATTGTATGTACATTTGTGTAACTGCGTTTTACAGCTATCTTTAGACTTAAGCAAGCAACCTTTAGTTCGTAAAATATATAAATTTTCACTAATACTTATACAAATCTTCCTCTCGGCTTGCGTTCAATACTTTCAAATGCTTGGAAATCAATTGAAATTTATAAATTAATGCAAAAATAAAGTACAGTACTAGTGCATAACATTAAGTAAATTCTTTGTAATTTTTCTTTTTTAAAGAAAAAAACTAAAAAAAAAAATTTAAGTATCTAAATTAGCAATTCCACATTTGCTTCAGTTAAAATCTAATTGAATCATCTAAAGGTTCAAGTTCATGGGGCGTTGGAACAGTCCAACCACTAAATGCCGCCTCTAATTCCGCAGCAATTTGAATGCATAGCCTATCTTTATATGGCGCGGCAATGACTTGAAATCCCACTGGCAGACCATCCTTATTAAGACCCATCGGTATATGCGTACATGGCAATCCAATAATATTGAAGATCATTGTGTAATCTATGTTCCAAAGTGCCAAGGCTGATGTGTTATGATGTAAAGCAGGCATCGGCAATGTGGGAAATAAGAGGACACTATCGTTGCCCAACATTTTCTAAAATTTAATTCAGTTATTGAAACAATGATACAATTAGGCAATTTCATTAAACGACTTACAGTAAATTTATTTTTCAAAATTTGAATTTCTCTTTTGTATTTCTTTACGTTAGCAGCAGGCATAAAGCCATTCGCTATTCGAAATAAATCAAAAATGATTGCCTCTTTTGTGTACTCTGATTTACCGATAAGAGATTTACACAATTCCAAGAGATGTTGCCTTACTTTATTTGGGTTTTCACTTTGGATTAAATAAGGGAACTCCTTCAGCATTAATAGACCAGCAATTGATATTTCCATTGAATCTTTGAACATTTTCATTGAAGCTAGTTCAATTTTACAACCGTGATTTTTTAAAAATTTCAATGCTAATAATATGGAAAACTGTATATCTTGCTCAGTCGACTTGTGCAAAAGACCATTGAGACCATCAAAGCCCATTGAGTAAAAGATCTGCAAGGTAAATAAAACAATTCAACTATTAATTCTCTTTTGTTTTTGGAATAGTGAATGTATTTAATGGACGTACTTTAACATCTTTTGTCACCACCGGTGTGAGCAAGTCCAATTTTTGTGCATTTTTGCCTGCCATGACTTGCATTAATAAACCTAAATCACGACCAAAGCGTGTGATTGGTCCCCCCTGAAAATATTGTTTGCCATTTTCTTCGCCGCTGTAGGGGAAATGTCCTGCAACCGAGACCACGCCACCGGTGGGTTTGTGTCCAAAAACTCCATTGAATAAACTTGGTATACGTATAGATCCACCGATATCAGAGCCAATGCCAAATAGGCTAGCACCAGCGCCATTTAAAGCACCCTGTTTGCAACAAAATCATATATCTACATACACATATGAACATAAAATTAAGGTGTGATTGATTAATTTGCTTACCTCTCCACCAGAAGAGCCACCTGCTGTACGTCGACTGTCATATACATTTAAACAGGATTTCTGCGTGGCTGGATTTGTTTCCATACTAAAACAGTATTCCGGTGTTATGGAAACCAACAATGGGATACCACCAGCGGCAATAACATTACTCACTACTTCACCATTCTCCGAGCATATCATATGCGCACGCTGACGGCTACCAACGCGAAATGGCATACCTTCAAAAATAATTTGGTTAGTTGCAATTATTCAATAATAATTTTCTTATTTTCATATTGCAATTTTCCTACCCTTTAAGCCGCAAGACTCTTTCACCGTAAATGGTATGCCCAATAATGTGTAGCGGTTAAAGAGTGCAGGCAGGTTTGAATCTGTGGTTTTGGCAATAAGTCCATCAGCGCGTTTAGCGTCCTCTAAGGCGCTCTCAAAACGATCCTGAACTACTGCATTTATATGGGGTTCCACTTCTTTAATACGCTCGATGTAAGCTTTTACTAGATCCTGGGACTTGAGCTGAAAAGCAGATAGTGATCATTGAAGTGTGATCGAAAAAACTCAGAAATACAGAATTATAAAAAGGGAAGAGGGTTGGTTAAATGGGACATTTTGAAAGCGTTCTATATAATGGATTTACCAAAAGGGCCTTGAAAAAATAATCTCCAAAAACGCATAATAAGAAATGAATACGTTTGGTTGTTCCAAATAAATAATTTCTTATCTGTATATATATAAAAGGATTTGTCCTGAATAACTGACTGAAACTCGGAAGATGTCTTTTGCGTATGGCGTATGCCCCGTATAAAAAAATTATTTTCTGGATCATGTTATTATATGATCATTAAGTACAGATATCTCCTTGCCCAAGTTGATATGGTAAACACTTTATCTTCCGGGAAGTGAACTTTGGACTGAATCAAAATTTTTTTTGTAACTTTTGATTTACCTCAAACTCGATGCAGAGGTAGCCTTGGTTCCTAAATAATATGGTGAATACTTTTACTTCCGGGAAGTGAACGTGGTCTGGTAACCGCTTGAATAGCTCTGCTGATAAGCCGTTAGCTTCAGTCGCTTTGTTGTTCTTTAAAAGAGTAAAAGCTATTCGATCCTCGAAATAGTCAGTTAATGACATCTTTTCCATAGTCATCGATTAGAGTTTCGGCTTCACCATCTTTGGGGGAACCAGTTTTACGGCTAATTAGCAGGCTAGAGAAGTGGTTCCTCCAAAAATTCCGTATACTTTGGGCATTCATCACTATGTCACCTCTATTGGTCCTACGAGAGTTTGCTCCGGTCCTGAAACATTTCGTAAGTCGCACATCTTTGCGTAGAATTTACGTGCTTGTCGATTAGCTTCTCAAACTGCTCATACTCACGCATTTCGGATTTTTTTGTCTACAAATGCCCTTTGCTTCTTTCATGATATCTTGGTATCTATCCCAAGCCGCACGTGCTGTGATCGATTACAAGGTTGCGAGGCTATTTTCTTGAACTGCCGAAAACGCATAGTTTCGAGCCGGACCTGTCATGTATTTATTGACGGGCGTTCTTTTATGCACCGAGGCGTGTGCGTATCTGAGCTGCGACAAGATAATGATAAGAGTCGATGTAAGGTTCTTAGAACGTACGCGCATCTAGAACACCGATGACGGCGCGATTTTCAAACTTGGGACAGCCAGGTAGCTTGATGCATTTTCTTGTGCGCCAAAATCATAGGTCTCTCTCACCTTAAATCCAACACCTTCTTATATGACTGCTGTAGTAAATTTTATAAGGACCTACTCGTCTCAGTCCCTGTCCTGTCCATCGCAATTCTTGGACGGCGGTTATGTCAGCATATAATTTTGCGAAGACATCAACCAGGTGGGCAGCGGCACTTTCCCAAGGGAACAGACAGTCCCGGTGCTTGTCCTCGAATCATGACACCTATAGCATGTGGGTGTTCTCTCACGCTAAGAGTTTTTTATTAATAGTTTATTTTTTCATGTGCTGGGTACCGAAACCAACGCACAACTGCATGCGATTCGCCTATTCATTTTAGCTTACTTCCAAATGCTTGCCAAGTGAATGGCTGTCAAAAACTTTCCATCCGTCTCGTTGGTCTTCATATATCTGAGTTACTAAACTTCCTGACGAAAGTAGTAGAATTGTTTAAAAGTAATCGTGTACAAAGACGTCTGGCAACATTGTGTAAATTTGAACAAGCAAAAAAATATGTAAACATTCATTTAGACGTTCACAAGGCGCAGTAGATTTTGCCGTTGCCAGCAACGGTAATAACTGTTGACAGCATATCACGCTTCCAGTGGAGTGGAATGCCTGGGAGGTACGCGAAGTGGCTGCTTTAGCTATGAAACTCAAATCAAGGCAAGGGTGGAGTGGACCAATCGGATCACCCTATTGCCTTATATAGGTTTTCCACGAGAGGAAAAAATATCGCTGTAGTTGGGAATTGAACACAAAAATATTTTATATTTCCCTTCCATCAGATTTGATTTGTGCCTTAATATTGAGAATTTAGTTTTAAAGCAAAAAAAAAAAAATTATACTTGTTTTGTATTTATATTTTTAAAATTTATTTTTTTCAATAAAATGCAAAAATTAGTGAACACAAATAAATATTATTTCCAAGCCAGCTTTATTATACAGGTTATACTTGTTTTATATGTTTTTGATATGCACATTTGTTTCTAATAAAAACACGCCACCGCTAATAATCTATTATTTTGACTTAATAATTAAAGCATCCCGAGTGTAATCTACTTCTGTCGTTGACTCAATATTGTTGAGACTGCGAACTATCGCTCATCTCTTTACGAATCGCTCTTACTTAATTGTTTCTTTCACTATTCAACATTTCACACTTGCTCTTTTTCACAATTATGACATTGCACGTTTTTTTTTTTAATGCAAATCATACTTTGTTTACCTTTCGTTGCCGCATCAACTTTATCACATCGACCAAAGGGAAGGTAATCAACTGATTACGTATTGGGGGAATGGTGGGCGGACCTTTGCGCTTCAGAAAGGTGTTTAGTATTGAATAAACCACCACATAGATACATTTGAAAATTAACTGAAGTATACGTAGTGTAATCTCCATTTTAAATCAATGCTTTAACTGTAATTTAACTGTAAAATTATGCCCACGTTGTACGTTGAAAATAAAAATTGTAAATAAATTTTGGACACACAAAATCTATATTTACAGTTTCGCGCACGCTTACTACTGACACGAATGAAAGAACGAAGACTACTGATCGAATACCACGCTCTTGAGAAGAGCTCTCAGTCAAGTAGTAGATAGTACATGTAGAAGTATACATATGAATGACTGAATATATGTATGTGTTTGTATATTCATTATGGTCTGTCGTTTTGTTTCAACTTTTCTTTAGCATAAATATTGTATATAGCGGTTAGTTTGAGAAATATTCAAAATTTTTGTCTCTTTCGATTTTCTTACAAGGGAGAAATTATTACGAAATTTTAATGGAAAAATTTTATCTTTATTTTTCGATCATAACATTTGAATTTTTTAGAGAAAAAATATAATTTAGATTTATTGACTGCGGACTTTTTCGCTAAGTTATTTGAAAATACTATTTTGAGAACGTAATTTTTTATGCAAGACACCGCTATTGCTTTTGAATAGTAAAGAGCTCTCTCGTTGAACCAAAACTAAACTCTACAAGTAACGATCTATTGCTCTTGAATAGTAAAGAGCTCTCTCCTTGAACCAAAACTAAACTCTACAAGTAACGATCATTCTTCTTCTACTTTATGCTGCAGTAGCATGGATAATGTCGACATCCAATGAGTCTCCGCTGGGAATCTTTCTCGAAAAAAGCTTTTCGCAACGGCGAATACTGTAGACGATGGAACGATGAGCTGTACGACTTATACTGTGACACTGATATGCCGATGGAAGCAACTCCACTGCGTTGGAAGGGGCAGGTGGAGTAACAAATTTAAATTTTAGACGAAGCAGTGACACTGCAGTCGAGCCTGTGAATATTTTATCGATAAAAAGTTATAAAAAGCATACTCGTACTTAAGGCTGGGAAGGCTAATAAGTGCTAACCTAATGCGAGTGTTTATTACAGAATGTTGATAATTTTGCCGGCACTATAAAATGGATCGTGAAGTGTGAACATGGCGAGAGTTATAATGCAAAGCAATTAAAATTCATATTGTTGATTAGAATTGCTTTGATACTGAGAAACTAAGAAATTTAATTTAATAAAAAAATATTATTAATACAGTACATGCATATGCAACGCAAATGAATCACAATCGAAAATATTAGCATTATAACTTTCAGTAAGTGAAATAATAGATATATTAACTTTGATCCATACTACGGACCAGAAGGAAAAATGATATATCCATAAAAATTTATGCCGATCGGGTCGGTAGGATGAGCTGAGTAATTTAGCCGTGTCTTTCTGCCCCTCAACCGAAATTGGTAGACAGCTATTTGAGACATTCTGCTAAAGTATTATATATAAAAATAAAAATTTTGTCAGCATACAAGCTTTTTGTACAGATATGAATTTTCGGGATGAAGCTCTATCAAAAATACAAATAGACATTGACACCCAAAATTATCGAAATCGGAAAAGTATATAATATTGCAGCGATTTGTTGAGACATCAGGAACATTGGCATACAAAATCATCAAAATCGAAGTTAGTTTTTCATATATGTATGTGAATTAATATAATATTTAATCGTAAAGTTAAATACCGTAAATTTTATATGGTAATGAAAGGTGTAAAGACTTCGGCATGGGCGAAGATAGCTCTTCTTATCAATGATTTAATATCATTCCGAAACTGGCAGAAATCGGTTCGAAGCATTTTCATTTCTTTTTTTTTCATAAATGTTATGGAATTGATAAAAATTGTGAAAATCATGATGATAGCCGTAAAAATACGTTTTAAGTTAGTTGCAGGTGTACATCATGCGAAATGAAATATACCAGGTTTATGATAATGAATTTTGAGTTTTCAGTATTAAGCCTACAAAGTAGGAAAACTTAGCGTCTAACAGTGTTTGCTTCCCAAAAAAAATTAAAATATCGAAAAGAAAATTTCTATGTCAAATATGTCAATGTTGCTTAAAAATTTAGTTAGCTTCCGAATAGTAAATTTATTTTGCTCTTAATCATTCTTTTTTCCTGGGTGTAAATGCTAGAGTGTTAGCTTTCTATTAGTTGAACACGTCAGTATATTATGTAAAAATAAAAGAAATGTTTAAGCAACCATCTATATATACATACATATGAGTATAAAAACGAATGCCACTTTTTGTTGTGGTTTTGTAACCCAAGAACGGGCTCACCTAGACTTTTCAGTAGATGGTTTATGTAAAGTTTGCACAAAATCGATCGGTTCTTTATATAATATATCACATTTTTTTTTAATGTTGACAGTACAAACATGTTGTGTCCAATTGAAGCTTTTTTAAGATCGAGATTGTTCTCTCAACATTGAAAAAAGTTTCTTTCAGTTTTCTTTTGATTATACTAAAGGAAAGACTACACTATTTTCCGGGATTCGGACCTAATAAAAAGATCTTTTTATGATTCCATTTACTTGAAATTTGGTACATACGTGTAGGTGGCTTTTTGCTTAGATAAGTAGGAAAACTACTGTTCTCTCTGGGAAGGGAACCAGTGTCAATGGTAAAACCAAAAATGTTGCATACCCACAGTGTAAATAAATTTATGAAAAAAAAAATGTATCCCTTGACTCAAAATCAATGAGGATGTGCGACAGCGACAGGGTACAGCTAATATTTGATAAAAAAAAGTTAGTATTGAAAATAAAGGTACTGATTTATTTTTAAAATAATATTTATCTATTTTAAACGTGAGGAATGTTTTCTAAAATTATTACAGAGTGTGTAACTTTTCGTTGGGCATTTATTTTGGTTAGAAAATTCGTTTCGAATTTTTGCTTGTTCCCCTCGTTTCCCTACGACCGAAATTTGTCCGCGTTCTTTACTTTATTTTATTTATTTATTTTATTTTATTTTACAAATTAAAAGAAAAAATTTTTAAATTGAGCGAATTTAATGTAGCTTAATAATAAATGATTAATTTTAAAAAATATCGGGATCCCTTGTTCCTGTAGCCAATCTCCAGATGGGCTTCCAAAAAAAGATGTGTGACATTGAGAAACCCGAAACCGAAAAGAATTAGTAATGATTAAAAAAATAGTGAAAATTATTATTGGTGACTTCAAAAAAAAACAGAAAAAAATAAATTTCTTGTGAGAAATTTTACATTTCAATGTGGCTTAAAAAAAGAAATTTTTTTCGAAAACTTTATTCCTTCGCTTGAAAATTTTAGGACAGTCGGTTAAGCAATTTCAGAGAGATTTTCCTCACCGTCTCTAAAAACACCTGTTTCTGAAAAACGCATTCAAAGTTTTGCAAATCATTTGCACTAAGTTAAGCTACTTCTCCTTTCGCTTCGATTTCCGGAAAATATTCTGAAATATATATGCATTCGAAAAATTAAAACAAGAATAGATTTTTTGAAAATTACAAGCAGATATAAGCCCTTAAAATAAAAGTTTCTTCCAAGGCTGAATTTAATCAGCTATATATTGCTGCATCATGTATTGTTATATAGAAAAAACCAGCAAGTGTTCGTATGTTTTTGCTTTAACTTTAAGGCAGCTATATTTTCTTGCATCTAAGCTTTTATCTTTTCAACTTTTTTGGTACTCAGTTTTCTTATAATCATTTTACTGTGCTGATAATAATATTGAATATTTAAACCCTTGCACTAAAGTAGACTATAAAAATTGGAAAATTGCATAAATAACAGTTGTAAAAATTTTCAGTACCCAAAATTATGATTCACGGTCCAGAAGTTACTGAACATGTGCTGGTGTCAATTGGAGAACATTCAGTATAAGCTAGCAAATCCGGGAACGAAGATATCAAAAGGTTTCAACTTTTGCATACCCGCTGAACTTCGTACATATCATCTAATAAAGATTTAATAAATATCCTACTGCTAAGCTCAGATTATTTTATTTCAAAAGAAAATAATTATACTTTCTCCAAACTAGCTACAACTTTATTGATCATGAGTAGCTAATATTAGATGACGTAATAAATAACTTAATTTCATTAAATAATATTTTATATATTCATTGTTAGAGTTTACATGAGGAGACTTTTTGTCGCTTATTTTCGTAATTTTCATTTTTGTGTCGCCCTTCACGTGGTTTTCTTAAAGCAATTTTTTTGACATTTGTTTCTTCTTCATTTTTTATTCTTTATTCTGCTTTATTGTACACCCGCAATTTTTCGTTTACTTCACGCTTTTCAATATTTTTGAAAGAAAAATGCTATGTGTTTGTAAAGGAAGACACATCTCTACTCTTTCAAAAGTGAAATCTAATTACATATCTCATCCTTTCCACCATCATCATTGTCAATCTCAGCGGCTTCTACAATACACCGTAATATTTCTTGCATTTATTCAACTTTATCTGCAAACTACAATATCTGAAATATTTATTAATAATTAGATATATATAGGCATGTATGTTTGCATGCTTATGCATATATGTATGTAAATATTGTAGTAAAAACCCAAATTTCAATTTCCAAATTTACGGAATTTATTCATTCGAAATTTAAGACAGCTTTGTCAAAATCTGCAGAGACGAATAGAAGCACAAAGCGTGTCGAGCGAACACAGCGACACGGTGCGCTGTCGATTTCATCGTTGGCCCTTTCCGTACAAACGAGTGTTTCGTCGACAAAAAGTATCCCAGTGTAAGCTCGGACCTGGTATCATTTCCATCTAAAGCAATTTTTTTTTGAATAAAAGTATTTATGGGCCTTTATACCCTGTACTACTCAAAACCGAATTTATTTCAAAAGGTTTTTATTATTTTAATAAAATTAAACTACAATTGTTACTTGTCAATCTCAATTAGAAGTATTTTTGGCTCCAGCTGCCATACAATGGGTCTGTTTCCAATATTGGGCTCACAGCTGTGTTCACTTGATCGACTTCGTTTTTCGTTTCAGTATTAATATTTCCCCTTTACAGGCCTATTCTGTCGAGGTAACGAAATTTACCCTGGTATTAAAATTTACCATTCAGTAAATTTTGTTACCATTTCGTATTCTGAGCTCACTGTTACCCTGTAAATTTTGTTACCAGCGAAGTGGGAGGTAACAAAAATATCTGCTGTTTGATTTTGTGTTGTTAGTTTCAGAAAATATAAAAAACCAAAATGGGTAGGCATATTTTAGGCCTGGAGTTCATAGAAGTTGAAGAAAAAAGCACAAAAAGCCGTATTTTAAGAAGTTTTCGAAACTAAAAAATAGCTCTTTAATTTGTAACATAACGTTTTCATTCAGCTTTTTTTGTTGCCCAAGCATATTTTTCATAATTAGGTTCAAATATTTATGATTTTATAAACAAATTAATAAAACTTGTTAATTTTTTTGTGCACTGTCTTCCATTTCGATGTGAATATTTTTTTTTACTTTATCAACTGGCAAATGAAATTTGACAAGTACAAGAAAAGCAGTGCTGCCAAAGTTTTTTCAAACATTGTAACCAGTTCGCCAGAATACCAAATTCAATTTCGGTTGTTAAAGAAAAGTAACAAAATTTACTTTGCCGGTAACAGTGAAAATAGGCCTGTTAAGCGCAGAGTTACTTTATAGTCCCTACAATGCTTCGATGACAGCTTCAATAAGACATGCTGAAGCATTATTGCAATGTTATAGCAAGTTCGATGAATTGAAGTTTACTCGTAAACCAAAGTTTTGGTATAATAAAAATCATTTTAAAAGATTTGTTTTCAAGAAATTGGTATGCATTTCTCAGTTTCTTTAGCTGTTTAAAAATCATAATATATGTATAATTAACATACAATTGCTTGGCCGGCTAAGTGTGAGAATTCTATTCTAATTTCGGTACCTGAATAGTCAGCTATAGGTGTTATAGTCGCACGATTCTTATAATTTTTTAAACTAATATTTACTCGAAATATATGAAAAGAATAGCAATTAAGACTATATAATACAATTTGAGATTAATAAGAGGAGTTTTGATCATGCACATATATAACATATTAAAAAATGTCATAATATGAAACGTTTTAGTTGAGTACAGAAAACAAACTCCTTTAAATAAATGTCTAATATGAAAATTTTATAATTTGAAGAAACAAAAATCTTCATAAAAAACCTTAAAAAATGTTTCAAGTAGGTTTATGTTCATTGTCGCATGAAACTTAAAAAATTTTCGCATTTCAGCCAAATCGAAGACTACCGCAAAACTCAGCATTGCTTGTTACGTTTGTGATTAAAAAAATGTTAAATAATAATTGAGTTTGTTTAAAGTCTCTTTATGAAACGAAAAGAGAATTTTTTCACAGTGGAATTGAAACTAAATAGAAAATTTGGTGAGAGCATCTTTCAGTTATATTATACAGAGTGTATGTATGCGACAGATTGAGCTTTTGAAACATTTTCACTTATCGCTCCTTCGTTTTGAATGGCTTTCAATACCAGTGCATTGCGAGGGGAGAATATTTTTAGAGTTTCTTAATGCTTTGGTTATAAGCCGATTATGGGAGAGGAAGCAAAGTCAACAAAGATAGTTTATTTAAAGTTTCTGTGAAATGTCCCACTGATGGGTGTATGATTGAAGAACTTGCCATAATTATTTTAGGATATACGAGGCGATTAACAAAAGTTCGACAAGTTGATTATAAAAAAAAGGATTGTATTCTCTTTCCTTTTTTTATTTTCTCTATATAATAGTCATTGATTTCAATGCATTTCTTAGTCTATAGATCCACTTCTGAAAACAGTATTCCAAATCTTTATTTTTAAGATTATCAAGTTTAGTATTAACGTCATCATCTCCTTGTTGATATTAAAGATCACTCATTTTGAATTTCTTTTTTAATTTTTTAAAATAACCAGAAATTATAAAGCGCTATATCGGGGAATATGTTGCTGGTCGTCTTTCCTCGACCCCAGAGATCGTTATAAAATAGCTCATTATTTCAGCGGTGTGAGATGGCGCGTTGTCATGATGTAAAAAGTAGCGCCACATATCCTCTCTCCTCGTGTTTTCCAACAATTTTTTTTAGAACTTTTGGTAAGCACTCTCCGGTGTACCATTTTGCAGTTTCCGCTTGACCCTTTTTCAGTGGATTAACAACTACGACTTTAGATCGGTTGAAATAAATTGGCAGCATTGCTTAGATTTTACGGATGGGGTTTCTCCTGTTGGGCTTCATACCATGGACTGCTTATTGGTTTCTGGATCGTACTTTTAGAACCAAGATTCGTCAGCAGTAATGACTTTACTAAAGTCGAATTGGTACAGGAAAAATTGAGCAAAATGCACTCAAATCGCATTTAAATTTCGTGCTACCCGTCAAGTGGTTTTCTGGTATATCCCAGATGATTACTTAATATTCTCGAAACGGTCATGATATCCAAGCCCAAATCATTAAAAATCATTTTACGTGCCAATCGTGGGCCTTCGTCAATTTTAGACATCATCAGAGCTACAGTGACGTCATCAGTGCAAGCAAATTAAACTCTTTATAAAAAATCAAAGTGAAAACTTTTTATGTTTCAATTTCGAAAATGAAATAATAATGATATCTACAATGCCTGTGTAGTTTATGATCTGGCAAAATAGATTGTTCTTATCTTTATTCCCATTAAGGCCACTTAAAAGAGCAACATACTTAAATTAAGTAACAACCAGCTCATAGCGACCTATAAATTTTAACGTATTTATTTCGATCGTATTTCTTATTTATTATTGACCGATTGACAAAATGGCTGATGAAAGGCAGTGACGTGGGAGCCAAGCCGTTTGAAAATTATTTCATGCAAATATTGACCGCGACTGCGCCGTCCATCCGTTTAGTCCGATTTTGACATACTCTTTCCAAAATTTCGGCCGGTATCTCACGTATAAATGCTTCAATGTTGTCCTCCAGTGCGTCAATTGAAGCGAGCTTGTCGGTATAGACATTAGATTTAACATAGCACCACGGAAAATAGTCTATAGGCGTTAAATCGCACGATTTAGGAGGACAATTGACAGGTCCCGAACTCGCTTCTCAATAAGTGCTCTGGTACGCGCGCTGTGCGACATGTGACACCGTCTTGTTGAAACCACATGTCATGCAAGTCAAGCTCTTTCATTTTGGACAAAAAAAGGTTTGATATCATCTCACGATAGCGCTCACCATTCACAGTGACGTTACGATTCGCATCATCTTTGAAGAAGTACGGTCTAATGGTGCCACCAGCCCTTACACCGCACCAAGCTGTGACTTTTTCTGGATGCATTGTTAGCACTTGCAACGCTTCTGACTGATCTTCACTCCAAAATCGACAATTCTGCTTATTTACCCAACCATTAAGCCGTAAATGAGCTTAATGATAAAATGGAAGGAGCGCGTGATGAACTTTCGGAACAGGGCATGTATTTTGATAATAAAATTCAATAATTAGCAAGCGTTGTTCATTTTTAAGAAGATTCATGGTAAAATTATAGGTCAAACTGACGTCCGTCAGCTGTTTTAACCAGTGTTGCCAAAAAGATAATAGCTAAACGACCGCCCTTCAGAAAATCCGTTCCTGAAAAAAGTGAATCTTATTTACTGATAAGTTTTCTTCTTCCTAACGAATTTTTGTTGTTTTTTTTTTTAACTAAGTAGTTGTCTTAATTCTAGTGCGATCAGAAACGTTCCGTATATGAACAAGAGAAAGAAAATAAAATAAATTAATTTAATATATTTTATTTTTACATTGATTTTCTAAATCACAAAATATAATTTTAATAATAAATACAAATTACAAATTTTAAAAAATCTTAATAACATATAAAGATATTCACACATATATGTATATTTTGTCATAAAAATTAAAACTAAGCTAATGGCGTAACCATAAAATTATGGTCGCCCTGATAACTTAATTAAGTAATTAATTATTGCCATTTATTAAGTAAAGCACAAATGATCAATAATAATGACTTAGAAATATTAGTTGTATAAATAGATGAATGTATATTCGAACTAAGTACCACAGAACACTAAAATTGCATACATACATACATATGTTGAAAAGCTTTCTGAAGCTTTTTGAAATCAAGCCAACCACCAACTAAACTTTTTAAAATTCATATAATAATCAACTTTTTATTTCATGCGGCAGTGGTGGCACCCAACCACCGAATGCACCTTCCAATTCTGCTGCGATTTGCAGGCAGAGTTTATCCTGATAGGGCGCAGCGACCACCTGAAAACCAATTGGAAGTCCTCTGTGATCTAAGCCCATGGTGACATGCGTTGCTGGTAAACCCAAGATATTAAATAATAACATCAAATCTACGCCCACCAAATTCAATGTGGCTGTATTGAAAGCAAATGCTGAGGTGGGAAATGTGGGCAGGAAGAGTACACCATTTTCGCCGAGCATTTTCTGGAAAACGAGAAAGTTTTAAATATCTTTTAAAGGTGATTATTATGAATAAGTTTACCACCAATTCCTTCTTCAATGCTTCGCCTTCAACTCGAAATCCTTCCGCTTCCTCGTTGGAAAAGTATATTCTTTCCGTGCGCATCCATTCCATAAATACAGCGTCACGATTATGCACCGATAGGCCAAAAAGTGAAAGCACCAGCTCACCAATTAATTTCGATATTTTGGGTTTACCTTGGTTAGTCACGCTTGGTATGCCGTGCAGATCTGAGAGCGCACGCAAGCCAATTTCTCTTGCGTGAGCGAATTTGTCTAAATTGAACTATTTCCAAAATAAAAAATAAAATAAAATAAAAAAAATTAAAATTAAATAATATAAAGTAAAATAAAAATAAATTATTTGAGTATAAAAAATTAAATATTATTTATGGTAAAATTTGTATTTAACATATGCAAGATTTACACATAAATATGTTATAAGGACTGTGATAGAAAAGGATTCTTTCTTCTGAGTAGAAAAGTTTGACGCGTTTTCAAGGATTCTCACGGTGTTAGTTGCGTGCTCACGAGTCTATCTAATGGCTTAATTGACAGCAGACTTTGGGTTGTTCATATTAAATTTAACATTTTTACCTCTTCTGTTTTTAGTCCACCTTTCTGGAAACATTTCACCGCTCGCGTTATGGCTAATTTGATATCGAAATCAGTTGGTTGATGCATCAAAGCAGCACAGCCACTAAAACTACTAGCATAGTAGATCTGAAAATAAGATCTTTAAATTCAATATTACAAAAAATATGACTTGGTTGGAAAATATACCTTTATATCCTTTAACGGAACTGGTTCGTGAAACTTTAATTTCTCTATATCTTCACCAGCCATCACCTGCAGTAATATGGGCAAGTCTTTGGCAAAACGAGTTATTGGACCAGTCGTTAGATATTGTGAAAATATTGGATCATCAACGAAGGGAAAATTGCCTTTAATTGAGAGCAAACCACCCGTTGCTTTGTGTCCAAAGACACCACAGAACATTGCTGGCAAACGGATGGAGCCTCCAATATCGGAACCCAAACCAAAAGGTGTTGCACCAGCGCCGTTTAGAGCACCCTTTGAATTGCAAACTTTTAAGTTTAATATATACAGCAATAGTTATAAATTTCAAATAGTCACCTCACCCCCTGATGAACCGCCAGACACTCTATTTGGATCATAAGGGTTGCGACATTTTCCATTCATTTTAGTATTTGTTTCGTAGCTCATGCAAAATTCTGGATTTGCCGACACCAAAAGTGGTATGCATCCGGCTGATCGTAATCGTTCCACCATTTCACTGTCGTTATCACATTTCAAATCCTTTCGATAGATATTGCCGACAACAAAGGAAAGACCTGTTGAGAGAGAGAGACATAGGTGTAATCATATATATAAATATAAAATTATTTTACTACATAGTAAAATAAAAACATTAAAAGTACAAAGAACTCTAATAGCCTACCCTAAATAATGAATTGTTACACTGTTGTTTGAGAAACAAACCTTGGTACGCTGACATTAGTCATCAAGTAAATATTTAACTGATCGAAAGAAATGCCGCCGCCTTGTGAGGTTTGCGGTATCCATGAGATGGACCAAACCAAGAGTTCAAGCTGCGGAATGCCATTTCTACCATAGCGAGCATCTTTATCCCCTGCACAAAAGATGTGCAGTCTGAAATACTCCTTGCCCCTCTACATATTATATTAAATTAGGCCATATTCAAAACTATGTTAAAGTGACGGATTGGATTTTTATGTCCATAAGCAAAATTCTGTAGAATAAATGATGCGATGATACATCAGGCTATTTTCGTTAGACCTCGAATCAAGAAGTTAATAAAATGAATACAGCATTTGATGAAAAAATGAATGAATTGGAAAAGAGAGCATGAAATTCGTTTAGAACAGTTGCTTAAAATTTTCTTGGTTACCACAAGAGTGATAAATATAAAGAGTTTGTTCAAAATTTGTATTAATATTATCAGAACAACGAGCAGAGGTGATTTACCCATGTCTAACTGTCTGTCTGTATGCAAACTAGTCCCTCAGAAATATTTCAACCAAACCTGAAGCATTTCAATATTCAAGCCAGTTGTCTGATAGATGAGATCGGACTATGACATTTAACGTACGATCGCTTGCTCAGCCTTAAAACTTTGGGTATAAACTCCTAATAACAAGAAATTCGGTACTCTATACACATATGTACATATAACGAATTACAGATTGCTAGTAAAAATGATCGAAATCGGATGTCTCGAACATAAATATTTCTCTCATTATTCAAATATTTGGTTCGGGTGAAAAATTCTTCAAAAAGGCATTTAAGGACATGAAATTTGATATTCTAGACATTGACACCGAAGTCGGAAAGATACATCATAACTCCAACTTATATCCGATGGCCAATGAGCATGGAAAATAGTTCCATTAGGGCATTTCGTACATAGGAAAATGCTATTGTACAAAGCCAAAGGAATCGAAGGATGTTGGCTGAAAGGAAGCTAAGCATAATATCTTTAATTGGTTATTCATAATTGCATTTGCTTTCCACAATTCACTATTCACTACTTTTATAAATATCTTAATCATATCAATAAAAGTGTAGTCCGTATGGTACGAAAGTGTTCAAAATTTGTCGTGAAAGACATGACACTGATCGAGTCCTGATCATCTCAAAAAAAAAAGGAATATAAAAATGAATTTGATTTCATATTAATTTTTCGTCTCGCCTGTACGGTGTAAATAAAAACGGATATATAAGGTTATCCATTTCGGGGTTTCAAAAGTACAGAACTATCAAACCAAACGTGTTTTATTTTGGTTAAAATTAGGTATTAATGAAAATGTATCGCAGAACGCGTTAAAACTGTTTAAGCCTACTACATAAATAATGTTCCAAATGTTTCGTACTTAAAGAAGATTATAATCGCCCAACTACTCAAGCAATTGTCCAAATTTGAAAAATATTTAAAGAACTGGATCGACTACAGATGTTGTAAGGGCCGCGCATCATCTTTTTGCTCGTTCCACCTCAAGTTAACCTATAAGTGAAAGACCGAGTTTCGGATTTGTTTATTTTGCGATGTCCCCAAGATGTGGGACTTTCTTATGGGGCATTATGGCGTACTTTATATTTGGACTTACACCTATATCCATATGAAGTTCAGCTCACACTACAACTGCAGCCAGGAGACCACTCACAACGCCATACATATGTGCGTCGATTGGAAAATTCAACAAGCGATGGGCGGCGATTGCTCAACAAGAAAAAAAAAATTCTTTAAAGAATTGGCAAGTTTCTTACTACGTGGATACGTAAAAAGCAAAATTGTCACATTTGTGTCTTCGAGAATTCCCAAGTAATTGAAGAGGGGTCATTACATCCAAAACGTCTGGTGCGCTCTTTGCTACGAAGGTGTGATTGGACCTTACTTCTCTGAAAATGATAACTTCGAGACTGCCCATTCGACGCGTTATGGTCGTATGAGAACCGTTTTTTTGCTCTACATTCAAGGAACAAAACTTGAACCATAAGTGGTTCCAACAAGATGGTGTCACATGTTACACAACACGATCGAGAATGGCTTTATTGTAGGATAAACTTCCCGGCGTGTAATTTCGCATATTGGCGATACCAATTGGCCACCGATCGTGTGATTTGACACAATTGGATTTTGTTTTATGGAGCTCCGCGAATGGTCGTGTTTATGCGTATAAACTTTTAATTCTTTAGCACTTGAAAACGACGATCAAATTCCGCAAAATATGCGCCAAAAAATTGTCGAAAATTAGTGCAAATGGATCGATGTTAATAAAATTTCACGGGGCATTTAAATGCATTTCACGTAATATATCAAAGTTCAAACTTTATCATACAATAGGAATTTATTTAGGAATTTAGGACTTAGTTTTATTATAAATGTATTTTCGAAACCGCAAAAAATTTAGATAGGATAATCTATTATTATTTCCGTATTATTTCCGAAAATTTTGGGGGTATATTTTATTTAAAAGCATTTTCAAGTCGTAATTTTATCTCGGCAGCGAAGCACCAAAAATTTTCTCAAGCAAAAAAAAAAAATATATATGTAATATTGTAAATAAATAAAATTTTTTGTCAATACCTTTCTAACCACTAATATATGCGTTTGCTGTCTTTTAAAGCAGATTCCCAACTTTTATAAAAAGTTTACAAAATTTTTTATTTGTCTGAAATTTTGTTAAAAGAGATATTAGGCTGCTCAAAGCATTGTATATATATTTCAAAAATATATATATAAATTTTTTTATTTATATTATTTTCTATAACTTTTGGATGTTGGTCGCACGTGGTTTTGAACCTGAACCTTCAGAATAGCAGTACGCAATGCTAACCCCTTGGCTACCGCGGCCACGCTAAGCTGAATTTTCTTATTGCGGTCGCGCCTCGGCAGGGAATGCCACCCCTTCGAGTGTATTGCTGACACGAAAGAAAGGCTCCTCATAAAAAGACCATTAGCCGTTCGAAGGCGGCTTATTATAAACTGTAGGTCCCTCCATTGGTTGGAAAAACATCAAGGCGCAAAACCACAAATTGGAGGAGGAGCTCGGCGGAAAATCGCTTCAGCGGTTACAAGGCTCAAATCATATGTATATTTATACAATAATTTTCCAAAATATAATAGAAAGAAGGCTAGCTAAAGCAATTTCAATAAATATACATGTTTTATGGAGTTAGACTTCCCAAGAAGTAGACCAGTAGATTGTCCTTTAAAAAACAACAGACAGAAACTTAGCTGTTTTAAAAACTCCTACTTTCTGCTAAAAGCAACTCGAAAACTTAATGTAGACGTAATTGTAAAAGCTTTGAATATACAATAGTTGGTGTGATTCACGATGTCAAGTGAAATACTTGGGCACAATGGCCAAAGATCACATCACAAGGCGATATAACAAGGTGGAAATGATTGAAAAATGTTAATTTCTAGTCTCAAGTGGCTTGCAAATGTTCAACAACCTCAATATTTAAGTATAAGTATAAGTTAATTACTACACTTTATTGTAATGAATGTTGAAAATTGTAAAAAAGTTTTATTTTATAGTTGGCAATTTTGTTGACGGAGATCATATAATACAAAGGGTCAAATGTCTAGATCGTGCTTAAACTCACGTTGTTGCCTAAAAATCTGCAGACACTATCATAAAAAAGCATAAAAAAGTAGGGGATTAACAAAAGTTCGGTCAATTTGTGATTTTCAATTTGTTTTGTTAAATCCAAAAATACCAAATTCTTTACAATTACTATTCCTTTAAAATTTAGAACGACCTGCTGAAATGGAGACGAGAAAACGCAAGAAATTACATTACCAGCGCAAAACAGAAATCCGCCATGTAATTCTCTTCGGGTTTCGGCGTAAGTTACAGCCAATTTAAATATTCTGTGAATGTCGAAATGCATGTGGAACGATTACACCGTCGTTAGAGACTTTTTCTAAGTGACTCCTAAGATTACAGACCGTATATTTTTCAGCAAAGGAGGAGCCCCGAGAAGCTCGATCTAAATGTTCCACTAATGATGTCGTTGTAGATCTTTTGAAGTCTAAAATCGACGAACACCCACGATTGACACAACAAATGATTGCTAATGAATTGGGCTTGAATGCCACGGCTGTAATGCGAATATTAAGTAATCATCTAGAATACACGAAGAAATCTGCTCGATGGGTACCACGAATTTTTAAATGAGGGCCGAAAAAAGGCACGAGTACATTTTGCTCAATTCTCCCTGAACAAATACGAAAGTCGTTAGTCTAGCAATTTTGGTAAAGTCGTTATTAGTGATGAATCTTGGTTCTAAAAGTACGATCCAGTAACCAAACAGCAGTACATGGTATGGAGCCTAACAGGAGAAAGCCCCCTCGTGAAATCTAAGCAACATAAAACAGCAGCAAAAGTAATGATGATGTCAGTTTGCTATTCCACCGGCAAAGGGTCAAAATTTTCAAAAACTTCTTGGAAAACAGAAAGAAAGAGAACTCGCGGCGCTACTTTTTACATCATGATAACGTGCCATTCCACACGGCTAAAATAACGAGTAATTTTATTGGGATCTCTGGGATGGAAGAAATGCGACCAGCTCCATATTCCCCGGATATAGCACCGTGTGATTCCTGGTTAATTCCAAAAATTAAACCAAAGTTTGAAGGGATGGTCTTTAGTGGCAACGAGAAGAGAATTTATGTGGTTAATGCTGAACTTGATTAGCTTAAAAAAGAAGATTTCGATTACTTTCTTCAGAAGTGGATCTGTAGGCTTAAGAAATGCATGTAGTTTTTTTTCTGGCCAATTTTACCGACCTTTTGCTAATCCCCTCGTTTATAGCTTTACACAAAAAAAAGTTGAAATTATTGCGACTCACCCTTCAATCCAGCCGATTCCTTCACAGTAAACGGTATGCCCAGTAAGGGGTAGCGAGCGAAGAGCGCAACCAGCTGCTCATTGCTAGCTTTGGCAATCAAGCCATCGGCGTGTTGTGCTTCCTTCAGCGCTTGCTCGAAGCGATCCTCCACAACTGCATTCAAACTGGCATTTACTTCCTGAATGCGCTTAATGTAGGCCTGAACTAGCTTATGAGAGGTTACCTAGAAATTAATTCATTAATAAATTCTGCTTTAATTCGAGTTTAACTATTTTTTTATACTACCTTTTTCTGTCGTAACTCCACAACCAACTCGCCGACTGACTTTAATAGTAACGCGTCTTGTATTGCTGGATAATTTGGTTTTTGGCGTGGCAACAACAAATTGACGAGTGTGTTCACAATAAAGCAGAGTGCATTGCCAATGGCGAAGAAAGTACGTATAACATGAATCATATTTCTAAATTAGCCTAGCCTTTTCTACGAATGCAAAGTCACAAAATAAAATCTGATTAGAATTATTTTGAATTTTCAAGCGAACGAAATCGCAGGTAAAATCTAGCATATAATAAAATAAGAACCATAACACCGCCGAAATGCCAGGATGGGAAAAATGTTAGAAATATAATACGATGATACCAACAACAACGAAAGAATGTAAGTCTTTGCCACTTGTATACCTGTGGTCTATAAAGAAACAATTTACAGTAGGACAGAGATTGAGTCGCCAGAATATTATTAATAAAAATCCAATGTCTGCTTGGTTCGTACGGTGTTCTCAAAAAGTTCCTAACCGATTTTCAGAAGTGAGCCAGAGATAGCCTTATTCGAAAAAACATTATTTATCGTTCGATTTGCTCGTAATTCGGTACATAGGAGGCTCCCAATTAATAGTTCTTTTTGCTTGAAGTCTTTGTTTACGGGAATTGGGTCTTTTTTAAGTAAATATATCCAGGTATGAGCATGATACTACCAGACCACTGTAGCGTTTTCCAGGCGGAACTCATTGCTATTTATCATGAAGGCTGCTGATTGTTTGCATTAATCAATGGCAGCAGGACAATCGGTAACTGCAGGGCGGAACCTTTCTACCCACGATAAAGCATACACACGATGCTTGTTTACCTCTGTCCACAGCAAATCACATGCTTAAGCTGGCTTTTACCAGAGAAGCTGGCTCAAAGTGGCTGAACGAGATCACGTGTAACGTGACCAAACAGCTATGGCCGAAGCTGGACGCAAAAAATCCAAACCATCTTATCTTTCTAGGCCGGCTCTCCATTATCATCAGGATGGGCATAATAATTGGACACTGTTTAATGGGGCTTCATGGGAAAAGAATGGGATATCATTTTAATGATTTCTGTCGCAGATGCTGGGATGAAGAAGAGGAGGAGACTATTGAGCACTACCTCTGCCAATGTCCAGCCTTGATAGCCTCAGCGAATATTTGAAAATTTCATTGCCTTTATAAGGCACACGAAATGGTTTGATCATCTGAGAAGGTGAAGGCAGGAGCCTCAGCGGTATCACAATGGGCCATGGTTTGGTTTGGAGAAATTTTTGTATGATACGTCTAATGGAATAATTTTGTTTGCTATTATTTCGCCGCTGCGGGTTGAACTCGAGTGCAAATAAGCATAGATTCGTAAGCATTGGGCTTAGGTGGGTAGTGGTGTGCCACGCAAACAAATAAGTGGATATATCAGTCTATATAAATATATATTGTACGTTCTTTTGTAAACAAAAAAAAGGATTTTATTCAGTACCCAAATTTAATTTGGTTAAATTAAATTTAATCATATCAGCGATTGAATTCAATAGTTAAGGTACACGCTCAACGAAAATCTGGTGGCAGTGGAGTGAAATAATCGCAGACAGTTGGCATTGAGGAATCGGATGTTAAGAATATTGAAGACATTAAATTAAGTTATATTCTTATTTTTAGTACAATGTAAGCTGATCTCCTTTAATATACTAGAAAGCAGTGTACAATGAAATGAGTCACAATTACGATAATGAATTTTTAAGCTTCCAAAAGCGACGGCGGTGCACAAAATGAAATGTTAGTCGCGAAAATAATAATGCTCTTGCTCTACAAGCTTGAATTTTATCCAAAAATAATCGATATTCTGTAATGATATTCAGTTAACATTGGATTTCCAAATTCCTTTTCATATTTCAATCATCTTAAGCAAAAATCTTAGTGAGAAACTATTGCAAATGAAGTTTTATATAAAACTTCTTCCTTTCAGATGACTATCAGGATTTTTGTAGCTAAACGGCCTTGGAAAATGTAGAATCATTGTGGTATTACAATAATTTTTGAATTCAATTAATAACTAAAAATGCTATCAAATCACCACTTACTTATAAAAATACTTGAAAGCAGGTTACAATAAACTGTATAAGTAAACGGATTCAGTTAAACCGCCAAAACAGACAGCTGTTACTCCACTCGCAGGCTAATTTTTACTGAATCGTGTTTAGTATAAACTCAGGAAACTTTCTCACTTTGACAGAGTAAAAACTCTTACTCACTCACCCTCACTTGCTCACTCAAAAACAGCTTAGCTTTACAATATTTTAAAAAATTCACTTTTTTTTGTTGTGGATTGAATATTATTCAAATAGGAGTTTTTGTTAGAATGACATACATATGTATGTCTGATTAATTCTATTTCAAACAGCAGAGAGTTTGACTGAGTTATAAGTTATAAAAAAAAGACCCTAAGTGTAAAGGAGTCAATGTGATGTACTAGTATGGCCATCAAGTCTACTGATGATTTTGAAAATTGATGGTATGCATAAGATTTGAGAATTTGTGGTAGCCAATTTCAGAAAGTTAGTCTTCAGCGGCATATTTACGTTCATAAATTAAGTAATAGTTTTAGATGAGCCCGCAATTAGTGCTTAGACCTTACAACGAGTGGCGGATTGTAAACTGGTTTTCTTACGGGAAGAAATACAATGGGACCCTCCACTTGTTGGGGAAAACATAAACATGCACACCAAAAATTCGAGGAGGAGCTCGATCGAATATCACTTCAAAATTCAAAAAAAAAAAAAGAAATTATTTATAGCAAATTTTATTTTATTAGATTTGGTCTTTTTGCGGTAGTAGATAGACTTGGTCGCCGAGTACTCCTGTGATGGACGTCTCGTCACAATCCGCATTAATCAAGCACGCTTTCTATGAGCGCTGCTCAACGATGTCTAGATTGGGCTTGGCGACTTTAACTCCAGGGTGGACAAGAAAAGAAACGAACGCCCGTCAGCAAACACAAGGAAGGTTTGACGCCAAAAAAAAAAAACTGTCACACAACAAACAGCTTCTACTCGAATTGTTCACCTGCTTTCTTAGAGCACCCATCAGCAACAGCCGTGGGACTAGCCTCCTAAATGTCGCATAGAAGATTATATCGAGCGCACTGTGGGAAGGACTAAGTCCCACGGTCAACAAGTAGTACCGGTGTGGCTTTACACATGGTAAATACACCAATCACCTTTGCGCCAAATCATGAAAAAACTGCCTTCAACAGCATAGTAAGGATCAGGCTCTTTGCCACTAGTTCTGAATTTGGTGTTCTCTGCTCACTCTTATAGAGCTCTGTAAACTAACACTGGACAACAGCAGAAACAGTCATAATTGGGAAGTACCTCTCCGAGTCGTTCGAAACCAAGCGAAGTTTCAGACTGATGACTGTGATTTCATCATATTGTTGCTTGATAATATAATAAGAGTTGCAGGCCAGGTATTGTACGAGGAAAAGTCGTAATATATCCTGGTACTGTTGACAGTCATAACTGCGATAATTTTATTTATCTACGGACCAGCTTTAATACTTATTATATGTCAGCCTTGAAATCCAATGCAGAATCACTCTTATCAACAGGTGCTACCTTGGACTGAGCCGACAATTCACAATAAAGTCCACTCTCAACGAACCAGCACGGGAACGATCTTGTTTTACTTTTATTTCCAACTGACGTCGAAGAGCCAAGAGAGGAACCGAATTTCTTGCTATTGTTGAGACGGCTGTAATTTCGTACGAGAAGAAGATTCGATTTTTCCTGTTCTTTTTTTTTCATTAAAAGTAAAAATTATTGCATTTGCGAACAGTTATTCTGTTTTTCGATCCATTATATGTAATTCTATATGTAATTGGTGCTTTGTAACCGCTGAGGTGATTTTTCAGCCGAGCTCCTCCTCCAATTTGTGGTTTTGCGCCTTGATGTTTTTCCAACAAATGGAAGGACCTACAGTTTATACTAAGCCGCCTCCGAACGGCTGATGGTTTTTTTTAAGAGGAGTCTTTATTTCATGTCCGAAATCTACTCAGAAGGGTGGATATACCCTGCCGAGGGGCGGACGCGATAAGAAAATTTAACTTAATTTTTTATTTAAATTAATTTTCCATAACTTTTTGACGTTAGTGGCACCGGGATATGAAACCGAAACTTCCGTAAGTCTAACCACTCGTTCAATGTTTACATAAATATTATTGTATCATTGTACAATATATATATATATATATAATATATACAATATAAATATATATTATACATTATATATATATTGTTTTTTCCATAAAATTTCGGCAAAAAATATTTGGGTCTAAACTACAGCACTAGACGCTGATTGTGATTATTTTTTATTCATTTGTAAATAAATAAATTAATTTATTTTTTTTTTTTCAAGTTATTTTGTTCGACCAGTAATTTCATATATAGTTAATAACGTCACAGCGATTTTTAAAAAATATTTATTTAAATCACTTGTAATCAGTTTTCAATAATTCAATATTCAGTTGAATAACGCTTTTTTTACACTACACAATTTACGGCTATACGAAATACTACTTTTATCATTACCAATAAACCGTGATCCCACTAATCGCAAATTCGACCGTATTTTTGTTGCTTTCACAGCGAATGCGCGTCCGCAACTGGGGAGCCGTCGATTCGAGTTAGAACCACTGCGCCAACACAACGTTTCAATCGCATAGATAAACCCGTATACGCATACTCGCATGTCTGTATATACTGGGTTGTGCATATCTACATGGATTAAGTACTTTTACTTATAAAAATTCAGTATGATTACAATTAGGAGCACACATACGATATAATAATTTTTTTTTTAATTGCCATTCTAAGACAAAGTTCAATTCTCGCTATCACCCATCCCATGTACACTCACAATATGTATGTATGTATATATGCATATGAGTACAAGCGACACTTTTTTTTTAAGTAGCGAAATCATTTACTCAAACCGATTTACAATCATTAATGTTTTGCCGCAATAACGTTGCTGGCTACTATGAGCGGCGCGGGAACTGTTATCGTTGTTGTTATTCTCTGGTGCTCTTTGTTTGTGTACTCGCCTCTATAATTTAAGCCGGTAGTGGAAGGGCACGCATGAGAGTGCATTGCGTTTAATGGAGGAGTGATTAAGGGGGGAATGAGGCAAAGTTGAATGTTTGCATAAAAAGTTTTTTCATTTTTATTTTTATTGAAAATGTATGAGGTGACTGTTTATTAAAATTACATAAAATTACAAAGTACCGCAAAATTGCATTACGGAATGTGAATTTGAATGTTTACGAGTATTTTGCATAGTTTCTCGAATATTGTTTGCTACTTTTAGTTTTCTAAGGGTAATGTATATATATAGACAGTACAAAAATAATTACATATTTCTTACAATTGTAATTTTTGTTTCTCTTTTTTGTTCTTTGAAATAGAAAAACGCTGTTCATAAACTTACCGACCCCCTTGCGGTATTCAATTGAAAAGAATATGCTGCTTTCGGACGGAACCCTTATGAGGTTCGTCTGTCGTTTAAATTATTGATTGTAAACGATGTAGGAGCATTGGCGTTGATCAGCGCTCTAATAAACTATGGTCATCCTTAAGGGGTTACATAGATCTTGAAACTTCAAAAAATTCATTTCATTGATAATTTTTTGTATAAAAGTGCAAAGTGTCAGGAATATTTCAAGTCGATCGGAACGAAACTGTAGTAGGAAATGAGAGAGTTTTATAACCCGTCCTCTTTGTCATGGCTTGACCGATGGCGACAGGCAAGACCGCGTTTTTCTTAAGCAAAAAATTAAGTTTTCTGTAAAAAACGCTACAAAAAATTCAATATTTGATTTTTTAATTTTTCTTCGTTAAGGGATAAGGAAAATTCACCTACTTTGGGAAAAAATTTGGATTTTCGATTTCAGATAAAAATTGAAAAAATTATTATGCCTACCGCGAATGCACTTTCTTGTGACGGTCTACTTCACGACACTGCCAACGCCTTAACTTATTCATTAAAATTTTCATCAAATGTTGTACTTTTATATGTAAGCAAAATTAATTGTATACCTTATTTAGTATCTTTTAAAAATTAGCGAAAATTAGGTTTTTCTTTTGTCTTCAAGACCTATGTAACTCATTAATTCTCAGCTCTTACAACTGCTGTTGGGGGTTCCCCATCGCTAGCCGCTGCTGTGGTTCCAAAAGCCAAAAAGTGGCCAAAACTCGAAAAAGGTATTAAGTGATTGAAAATATCGTTACACGGGAGGTTTTTGAGGTCGCTGATTACGAATCTGATATTTATTTTTTGAAAACACAAAAATGATGAATTCAGTTCACTGGAGACGAAGTGCAAAAAAATGTGAGTTTCAATGAAACTCATTATTCAGTATGCAGTAATAGAAACTATAAAATTATTTAATAATATAAATTAATATCCGTGATCTGAAGAATGTACAGATTCATCTTCAGAATTTTATAGTGAATCATAAACTATCATAAACTGGTGCTTTCCACAATTTAGTCTCATCAGTTTCTAACGATTTTAGTTTTCTTGTCGGTAATTTCCTTAAACTAGATATTGGTGGATCTGATGATACTAAAAGTCTCATAAAAAATGTCTTCCATATTTTTAGTACGAGAAATTTTCCGCGCAAAGTTTTATCGATACTTTTTAATAAATTTATTGCAGGGCTCCTTAGCTTCTTCAATCATTTGTCCAATTCGCAAAAGTGATGTTTCAACTATTTCAGCGCTATGAATCAATAATTTATTTAATGTAATTGGCATATAATACCAGGAACATAAGAATACATATAGGGGGCTGTCCCTAGGCAACACATTTCATATTCAGGAACTTTAATTTCAAAACCACAACTTATTACTTGTAAGATAATGTGAAATCTTTTAATCAGTGTTTCGTCGATTCGTTTGTGAATTTTGAAAGAAGCTACGTGCTGTATTTCCACCATTCGTGTGGATCAGTTAGGAGTTCCAATTGTTGAGGGAAACCTTTTTGAATATTGGCCTGTTTCGTCCTCCTTTCGTGTGCCATGTTTTAACATGTAACTTGTGAGCAATGTGGAAAAGACACTCGAACAAAGTTGAAGACCGAACTACAGATTATCCTTGACTATTTCTTTTTTTAACATTAAATCAATATTATTGAAAACAATGTTATTTGCAGTGGAATAAGATTACCTGTTCTAATATATTTTCTAGCAATTCTCGCAAAAAATTCTATTCTAATTTGCCGACAATATTGC